AAATGAACTGATCTCTAAGAGTCAGGATGTGGAAAAGCAGAGAGTGTAGCTAGTGCAGGGACGACAGCTTGAGAAAGAATTAAGAGATGGAGGGATTAGAAGTCTTGCTGAAGATAAAGAACAGGATTGGCCAGAGATGCAATGACAACAGACTGTGATCACATAAAGGAACGTCAAAGTTCATGAACATGGAAGTGGAACCCTTCTGTATGATGATTAAAGGTATGACTGTTTCTGTGTGTAGCTGAAGTAGGGTGAAATTGTAGGTCATGGGAAATGAGTAAGTTAAGGAACAGTTAAGATATTTAAGGGAGTTGTTTAAATATCTATGTTGTAGTCCCCTGGTATGAGGCAGGAGTAGAAGAAGAGAGAAAAACTGAGCTAGGCACTCAGTTTGAGAGAGGAAGCTACCACTTTTAATGGGGTGATGAACCTCAGCAAAGTAGAGGTTGCTGAGTTACAGTGGTAGAAGGTGGAAGAGTTTGAAAGGGGGGCAGTCAGTCATTCAATAAACATTTATAAATGTCCCGTGTGTACCAGACATTGTGCTGAGTATTGGGGTTAGAAAAAGAGGTAAAAGACAGTTCCTGCTCTCAAGGTGCTTGCAGTCTAATAGGAGAGACAACATGTAGACAAATATGTACAAGATAAATAGGAAGTAATTAACAGAGGGAAGGTACTGGAATTAAGAGGGGCTGAAGAAGCCTTCCTGTAGAAGGTGGGACTTTCGTTGGAAATTAAAGGAAATCAAGGAGGTCAGTAGTAAGAGCTGAGAAGGGAGAGAATTCCAGGCCAGAAGGTGGGGGGGGGGGGAGTGGAGGGAGATGACAGCTGAAAAATGCCTGGAACTAAGAGATAGAGTGTCTGGTTTATAGAACAGCCAGGAGGCCAGTCTGACAGGATGAAAGAGTGATGTGTCAGGGAGTAAGGTGTACAAAGGCTAGAAAGGTAGGAGAGGACTTGGTTATGAAGGGCTTTGAATGCCAAATAGAGGGTTTTGTATTTGATCCTAGAGGCAATAGGAAGCTACTGAAGTTTATTGGAGGCTGGGGGGTGGGGGGGGAGTGAATAGCATGATCAGGTCCACACTTTAGGAAAATCACTTTAGTGGCAGAATGGAGTGGGGAGAGACTTGGGGCCATGTCCAGAAATATGTCTTTCTTCACCTTCTGTCACTCACTTCTTTGTCAGAAGATAGGTAATATACTTTATCATAGGTCCTCTGGAGACATAGTTGGTTATTGCATTGATTGGAGTTCTTAAGTCTTTCACAGTTGTTTTTCTTTTGTAGTGTAACTGCCCTTGTATAAATTGTTCTTCTGGTTCTTCTCACTACACTGTGCATCAGTTTATGCTACCCAGGATTTTTTGAAATCACTCCTTATGTAATTTCTTGGGATGCAGTAGGATTCCATTATTTTCATATACCACAATTTATTCCCTAATTCTTTGTTTTCCCCTTTAATTCTGTCTTCAGGATCAGGAGTTTGTTTTCCTTGCAACTATTCATTCCCTGATATCCTTCTTCTTAATTGCCTCTCCCTCACTCTACCCTTTAGTCCCTATTGAGTTTGATCTCTTTTTACACCAAAGTGTGTGTGTGTGTGTGTGTGTGTGTGCGTGTGTGTGTATGTGTAAAACCCTCCTTAGCCCATTTCATATAAAAATGAGGTTCATCTTATGCTTACTTACCTACCCCTTCCTCCATATTTGTGTGCTTTTCTTCTCACACACACACACTCCATTTATGAAAAAAAAATAGCGAATTCCTCCTCCTTTGTTCATCCTTTATACATTAATATAAAAGTAAAAGTATCTTTGTGCTTTAATTGCTTCTTTCTAGCTGCTTGCAATATTTTTTTCTTTGACACGGAAGTCTGGATTTTTTTGGCTGTAACATTCCTGGGGGTTCCATTTGGCAATTCCTTTCAGGAAGCGATTGGTGTATGTTTCTATCTTCACCCTGACTCTCTGATCTTAATAGATTTGAGCAGTTTTCATCATCTTCATCAACAAGCCTTTAGAGCCATGGGTGGGGAACCCTTGGCCTCGAGGCCACATGTGGCCCTCTAGGTCCTCAGGTAGGACCCTTTGACTGAATTCAAACTTCACAGAACAAATCCCCTTAATAAAAGGATTTGTTCTGTAAAACTTGGACTCAGGCAAAAGGCCACACCCAAGGACCTAGAAGGCCACATGTGGCCTCCAAGCCTCAGGTTCCCCATCCTTGTAACCCTTAGTATGTGCCAGGTGCTGTTTTAAGACCTGAGTATACTGTCTCTAACCTCAAGGAACTCACATTTTAATGGGAGAGACAACATACGAACTACTATATAGATACAAGGTATATACAGTGTAAAAGGGAGAAAAGGAAAGACCTCTTGAAATTGGTGGCTTTGAGTCAGGTTTTTAAGAAAGTCAGGGAAGCCAAGGGGCGCTGGTAGTGAGGAGGACATCCTAGGCATGGGCAACCACCAGTGAAAAGCCCCAGAGTCTGGAGATGGATTGTTGTGTGTAAGGAACAACCAGAAAGGCCAGTGTCCTGGGATCGAGGAGTGTGCAGAGTATGTTTTAAAACACTGGAAACGTAGGGTGGGACCATTTAGATTTCTTGAAATAAAGTGTCCGGGCTTCCCCTCCCTTCCCCCAGTGGTTTTGAAGGGAGTCCAATGATTCTTCATTTATCCCTCCTAGAACCCACTTCATTTGTTTATTTAATTGGACATCTTAAATTTTCTCTTATGTTTTCAGTCTTGATTTTGATTTAATATTTCTTGCTTGCCATGGAGTTGCAGATTTGTATTTTGTCTGTTTTAGTTTTCTAGGAATCCATTTCTTAAGGTTACCACTTTGACTTCTAAGCCAGAGGTATGTGGCAGGATTAAAATGTATTTAGGAAATGCTTAACAAAAATAAATTTAAAAAATACAACGTAGGTAATGTAAATTTGTGGTTTTCTAAGTCATTATGGAGCCTGCAGAGATCTCTTTCTATTTGAGTTTGATGCCACTATTTTGACCTACTTAATTCTTCCAGTTCTTTCCTCCAGAGATTTTCTTTTCAATCTTTAGATTCATTTCTTCCAGTCCTTGTGTACAATATATTTTTTTCCCCTTTGAGTCTTTGCTTATAGTTGTTACAGAGTTACTTTAGGATGATCTCTAGATCTGTAATAATTTTTATGCTGGTTGGTGTTTTCTTTGATATCTCTTCTGAATTGGGGCTTTGTGCCAGGGCCAGACTTCACCCCTGCAATTCTTGGTTTTTCCCTTCTTTGTCTTGCCCTGGATCTTTTGGGTTCTGGTGCTGCCTTCACTTCCCAGGATTATGCCCAAATGTCTCTTCGAGGTTCAGAGCACTGGATCTTGTCATCTCAGGAGAAAGTATTTGGAATCTTAGAGAACTTGGGTTTCTTAATTGTCCTGCTCTGAGTACTGAAGGATGACACTGTTCACTGGAGCTTTTTGACCACTGTGGAGTTTTCTTGAGGGCACCTTCTGCTTTTTGCCTCAAGACATAGTTTTGCTGACTAAGTGTGTCCTATCTCTAGTTAGATTTGTGCCATCTTTGCTGGAAGGGCCCTTTCCTACTGCTAGCGGTCTTACTGACTTTTCATGAAATTCTGAGGTGGAAGAAGTCATTGTAATTTTTATTGGACTTCTTGATCATTGTTTGATTTCATGCAGATTTCAGGATTTTGCTGGAGTAGGTAGCTGAAAACTGCGCAGTCTACCTCTGATTCAGCCAGCCAAATTGGCAGGAAGTCCTCATTCTTTCCCAGGATGACACTGTTCTTTCTTCTCAACTGCCCTACTTTACCGTGCCCATGGCAAAGCAAGTTTAAAAATTCCCAAGCTAACTAAGTAAATGGAAAGGGTTTCAATATAGTTGTAGAGATGACTAAAAATACAACTATAAGAAGTGTATAGAAAATCAAGGAAATAGTAGAGCTATGAGAGCTGTTTGTAAGATCCACTTCATTAGAATTATAACCATAGTCACCTGGGTGAGTCCCACTGTGTCCTTACCATCTCTGGGCCTCCTTAGACAGGTAGCATTGTTCAAATTATTTAAAGTACATATAAAACAAATCCTTTTTTTTGCCTTTTTTTTGGTGAGGCAATGGGGGCTAAGTGACTTGCCCAGGGTCACACTGCTAGTGTCAAGTGTCTGAGGCCGGATTTGAACTCAGGTCCTCCTGACTCCAAGGCAGGAGCTTTATCCACTGGGCCACCTACCTGCCTCTAAACAAGTCATCTTCTAAACCATCAGGATTATAATTGAAAATCTGTTCCAAACATATCAAAAAAGGAAGTTTTTATATTTGCAGTTTTTCACTTTCTTGCACATTTAAATTTTAATAACAGTATTTTGTGGTTTCTATTGAAATGGAGTTATATATCTTTATTTTTTTAAAAAGTCTTATAATCTTATGTTAATTGGCAAATTTGTGATTGAATTTTTGCTTTTGTTTTTTTTAGGGGGGAGATTTTTTTTTTTAACTTCATAGACATAGAGTGGTTTTGAACTTACCCTACAATTTACAGCAAGTTGGTGGGAGAATTGAATTTTCTAGTTTTCAGGCTCTTGTTTACCTATTGAAACATGAAAGTATAATTTTGTTGATTTTTTTAAAAATAAATTGTCCAGAGTAAAATAATTACATTTAGTAATTCCCAAAAGTCAAAATTCTTTGGTTCCTGAAATTTTGATATTGAATATTGGTAGCGGTTGAATTTTTATAAGGTTAACAAAGTTTGATTAAGCATATATAAATTGTTTTGAGCTGTATTTATTAGAAAACAAGTAAAATTACTTTCCATTTTAGTTTCTAACTAGGTAGCTTTTCAAAAAGATGTTATACTAGTTTGTAATACTAATTCATGTTTTCATGCCTGCCTAACTATAATGAAAAAATATATTTAAGGTTTTAGTCACTAGTATTAAGTAAAAAGCTTATATGGTGCTAACATGCCTTATTTCCTCCTTTTCATATTTAGGATACTGCTATTGTTCATCCAGTTCCCATTCGAATGACTCCAAGCAAAATTCACATGCAGGAAATGGAACTTAAAAGAACTGGAAGTGGTAAGGAAACTGATTTGGGGAGGGGTGGGGGGCAAGGTGCTGTCAATTTAAAACAGCCAAATAATTAGCTTTCAGTGATCAGCTCTAGTTCTTAATTGCTTGCTCTTTTCCATGACAATTCCCTACGCAGAGCCCACTTTAAAATTTAATATTTTCTCTCCATTTCACAAAAATATACAGAACAGCTGAATTGGATAGAAAATTTTAAATTGAATATAACATGACTGAGTGAAAGATTGATAAGAAAATAAAAAAGGTTCAATGAAAACTTGCCACTGAACAATCAACAAGCATTTATTAAACACCTGCTATGTGTCAGACACTTTGCTAGGGGCTGGTGACACTAATGAAAAGAAATGAAACAATCCCAGCTTACAAGAAGCTTGCATTCTAATAGGGTAAACATCAAGGACGTTTAAGTATTTACAGAATAAAGAAAAGGTAGCTTAATAGAAGATACCTTGGAAGAGAAGGTACTAGAAGTTAGTGGCTATCAGGAAAAGCTTTATTTAGTACCTACTGCTTGAGTCATGCTTTGACAGAAAAGAGGCAGAGGGTGAGGAGAAAGGACATTCCCAGCAAGGTGGGGAGCCAGCACAAAGGCACAGAGATGGGAGATATGGAGTGTTATATATAAGGATCAGAGAGAGGGCCAGTTTGCTTTGATTATAGCATGCAAGTAGGTTAACAGTATCCATTGAGCCTGGAAAATAGGCTAGGGTCAGGTGGTTAAGGGCTTTAGAAGCTAAACAGAGTTTATATTTTATCTAGAAGCAGTGGGGCAGCGCTGGTATTTGAGTGGGGGATTGACATAGTCCCATCTGAGTTTAAGGAAAATTGCTTTGGCAGTGATATAGTGGATTAGAAAAGAGACAAATGAGGAAGGAAATACACAGGAGGCTGGTGCAATAATCTAGGTGAGAAATTATGAAGGCTGAACTAAGGTGGTTGTGTGCATACAAAAGAGGGAGTGTATGCAAGAGATATTGTAGATGCAGAAGTGGATTGGGTATGTGGGATAAGAAAGAGTCTGAAGAGTTGAAGGTAACACCAAAGTTATGAACCAGGAGACTGGAAAAATAGTGATGGTGTCGATTAAAACTGAAATTTGGAAGTCAAGTTTTGGGGGAAAGATAATAAGTTCTCTTTGGACACGTGGAGTTTGACATGTCTGTGGGACATCCAGTTTGAAATGTCCAGTAGGCAGTTGGTGATGTGAGAGACTGAAGCTGAATATGTAAATCCATAAATCATCTGCGTACAGCTGATAGTTAAACCCATAGAAGCTAATAAGCCACTGAAAAAAAGAAAAGGACCTAGGCTTATGCTTTGGGGAATACCCACAGCTGAGGGTTGTAGCATAGATGATAAACCAGCAAAAGAGACCAAGAAGGAACAGTTGAAACAGGTAGGACGAAAACAAGTAGAGAATAATGTCACAAAAATCCAGGAGAGTATCTAGGAGGAATGAGTGGTCAACAGTATCAGATGCAGCATATAGGTTGAGGTGGAGGAGAAGGTCATCAGATTTGCCCGTTGAGATCTTTGGTAACCAGTTTCAGTTGACTAATGTAGTCTAAAGCCAAACAGCAAAGGATTGAGTGAGTGAGAAGAGAGGAAATGGAAGTAATGCATATAGATAGCTTTTTCTAGGACAAAAGCACTGGCTGATGAAGGCAGAGAGATATAGGATGATAGCTTGACAGGATAGTAGGATCTAGCAAAAGGTTTTAAGGCTTGGGGTGGCTTGAGTATGTTTGAAGACAGTGGGGAAGGAATAAGTAGATAGGCAAAGGTTGAAGATTTGAAAGGAAGGGAATGATTTAAGAATGCAGTCTCCTGAAGAAGACAAGAAGATGTGGAATCAGGGGCACACGTTGGCCTTGGCAAGGAAAGAGTCACTTCATTGTCAAGGGCTGGGAAAAGGAAGAGGAGGGAATGGATGTTAAGGGGTTTTGAAATGAAGAGAAGGGGAGAGAGGAAGCTCATTCAAATGCACTGGCCCTGATTTTCTTGGTAAAGTAACTAAGAGTGGGGAACAGAGAACATGTGGGCAGCTTGAGAGAAGTAAAGTTTTGAATTAGCTGCTTTGGAGAGTGAGAGAAGGAATCCTTTAAAAGAGAAATAAAACAGTTGTCTTTCTCATTTATTTATTTATTTATTTATTAGGCAATTGGGGCTGAGTGACTTGCCCAGGGTCACACAGCTAGTGAGTGTCAAGTGTTTAGTCTGAGTCCAGATTTGAACTCGGGTCCTCCCAACTTCAGGGCCAGTGCTCTATCCACTGTGACACCTAGCTGCCCCAACAATTGTCTTTCTGCAGTGAGGCTTAAGTGATGTTGCATAATATAATTTATAATGTACTCAGCACAGGTATTTAACCTCATGCTTGTCCTGTCCAGTTTATTCTTGAAGTGGCTCAGTTCTTTTTTTTTGTTTTTGTTTTTGTGAGGCAGTTGGGGTTAAGTGACTTGCCCACAGTCACACAGCTGGTGAGTGTTACGTATCTGAGGCCAGATATGATTCTGAGTTCTTAAAGGCATAAGCAGCAGAGTGGGAATTCTGGCAGGTTCTACCAGGATGAAAAGGCTTTGATTATTTAGGCCCAGCAAGCGTCTGTCTAGTTAAATGTGGACAGCCTCATCATCAGAAGATTGACCACAGCAACCTTTGAAGACCTACTAAGACATGTAACAGTTTTGAATGTGTCAGTGGAGATCACTCATATTTCCAAAATTAGATCTTTTATACTATGAAGTTAATCTAGTTCAGAATCAGCAATCTTAATTTTGACCCAATTTTAATCCTAGAACTTTGCTATTTACATTTGTATAGTTGAAATAAGTTTTCAGGATATAGAATACATTAATATAACCAACAGCTGCTAGTATTTATGTAATACTTTTCAGGTTTGTACCTTAATGTTAGTGTCTTCCTTCTTAGGTTATCTCCAGTTTATTTTGTTTGTACATAATTGTTTGCGTGTAGTCATCCCCATTAGACTGTGAGCTCTTTAAACTACAACAACAACAACAACAATAATAACAACAACAACAACTAGCATTTACATAGCGTTTACCATATGCCAGGCATTGTGCTAGGAGCTTTATGAAGAGTATCCCATTTGATCTTAAAACAACCCTGGGAGATAGATGCTTGCCACCTATCACCCTCCTAGTTGTCCCTTATGGACAGAGATTGCTTTTCTTTGTTTGCTAAGCTCATAGCACAGTGTCTGGCACATAGTAGGCCCTTAATAAATGTTTGTTGACTTGCAAGGTGCTTTTACATATGTAAAACAACTCTATAAGGTATATGATTGCTTGCCAGAAATTGTCGTTTCTTCAAGGTAAATGAATAAACATGATATATCTCTAAATATTAAGAATGTAGTTGGAGAAGAGAAATTCTCTAAACAACTTGCATTTTCATGGGACTGTTATGAATTTTTAGCTAAAATATATGAAACATGTTTTAAGCATAGAACCTACATTGTAAGTTTGATATTTAAAAAGTAATTATTAAATGTTGCTTAAAAGTCTACCTAAAAACTAAGAGAATATTTAAAAGATAAACATTTGAATTTTATACTTTAATGAAGTAAATGCAAATAATAGTCTTGACAGACTTTTTTTCTATTTGCAGATAATTAAAGGAAGCATCTTTTATGACAAATTTTGTGGATTTTGTATCATTTTAAAATGTCTTTAATTTTACCTAGATATTTTTGTGTAATACCTTTTCTGTTAGATCACACTAATCCTACTAGCCCATTACTTGTGAAGCCACCTGACCTTTCAGAAGAAAATAAGATAAATTCATCAGTGAAATTTGTTTCTGGAAATACAGTTGGTAAGTTAAAATGTACCTTTTAAGATCTATAGCTATTAATTTTGATTTAGACACTGAAAAAATTAAAGTAATAGCCATTTTGAAATGTCTGTATTAAATGCAAGTATAGACACTTCCAAACAATAGTCACCTAACTTTAAAACTTCCAGTACTTATGAGTGAAATTGTAAAGAGGCTGTACACTGACTCTCCTACTACCCTTTTGGAATCTCCCTTTTCTGTGTCTGGAACAAGCAGTCAGACTTCACTGGGCTGATGATTTGACCTATTTGTTATTTTTGAGAACTATCTGACTCATTCTTAGCTCCTCTACTGACTTTCTTCTGCATTAGGGGAATTGTATATGTAGAAAACTATACCCTATTTCTTCTTTCACAAATCAATTCAGTTCATTTATCTTCAACTTATTCAAAGGGAAGCTATTTAGTCCTCCAACAAGTAGTCTCCTTTTCTCCCCCTCTGTTTGAGAACCAAAAAAACCTAACTGTAGTCAAAGATTGATAGGCATAAGTGCAGTGCTTATGTTACATGATATCAGGGCTGACATTAGATGATATCTGAAGAAAAGAAAGCCAGAAGATTTGAGGTGAAATTCAAGATCATAAAGAACTCATGTTTGAATGTCTGTAACCTTGGAAAAGTACTTTTCAAAATAATCATAGAAGTCTGCCCTTTTAATCCTTCTAAGCAAACCTGCTTTTCTTTAATTGCCTTGCCAGTTCACCAAATTGTCAGCCTTATTATAAAGTAAACTATTTAATAGTTTTGAAATAACCAAATAGGGCTACTTTCATTCTGAAGTTGACAGGGTAAAATAGAAGAGCATCCTAATGCAGAGTATCATTTTCCAATGTGTTTATACTGAGTAAAGTTTTAGTTATATTTTATTGTTGAAATTTGCTGCAAAATTGTTAACACTAAAATGAATGCTTTAATGAGTTGTTACTAATTGTTACTGTATTGCTACCAACATTTATCACTGCGTTTTAGCTATGCCAAAAATTTAAGTTAATAATGGTAACTGGCATTTACATAATGCTTTAAGGTTTGCAAAGCATGCTACAGATATTTTATCTTCATAATATCCCTGGGAGGTAGGTGCTATTATGATCCCCATTTTACATGTGGGTATTTACAATTGAGGCAGAGAGAGGTTGGGTGACTTGCCCAGGTTCACACTGCTAGTGAGTGTTTAAGGCTAAATTTGGACTCATGTCTTCGTGACTCCAGGCTAGCACTTTATGCACTATTCAGCTGCAGTCTTGCCTTTCTAAAAGGATTCTTGGACAGGTCTTGGTTTCTTTGATAATTTGGGAGATACTCTCCATGGGTAGGGAACCTGTGGCCTCCAGGCCATATGTGGCCCTGTAGGTCCTTGGGTGTGGCCTTTTAACTGAGTTTTACAGAACAAATCCTTTTATTAAGGGGATTTGTTCTGTGAAGTTTGAATTCAGGGGAGGCAGAGCCAAGATGGCGGAGTGAAAACAGTGACTTGCTTGAGCTGTCCCCCAAATCCCTCCAAATATGTATAAAAAATGGCTCTAAACAAATTCTAAAGCAGCAGAACCCACAAAAAGACAGAGCGAAGTTTGAATTCAGTCAGAGGGCTGCACTTGAGGACCTACAGGGTGACATGTGGTCTTGAGGCTGCAGGTTGCCCACCCTTGCCTCTAGTCTCTTCAACACTTCATTGAATAGGAGCATAAAAGAAGCCTAGGTTGCTTTCAGGAAATTAAGCAATGTGTTTCAGGTCCTGTTTTATCAGTAATAATAAGTAGCATTACATTTATATACATTTGTAGTATAGGTTTTCAAAGAAACCACTTTACTAATATTATTTCATTTTAATCCTCACAACAGCCCTGTTAGGTGAGTGTTGTTATTTTCCCCATTTTACAGGTGAGGAAACCTAGGAAGACAGGTTAAAGTGACTTATTTGTCCAAGGTCACATGGCTACTGTCTGAGGAGGGATGTGATCTTAGGTCTTCCTCACTACAAGTCCAGCACTGTATCCATAACACCTGACCTAGCTACCTCAGTAGGAGCATATTCTAGACTGGTTTGCACCATTGTGAAGAAGATACTTATTTATAGGCTGCTGGACAATACAGGTAAAGCTTGGTAATGTCAGGATTAAAAAATTAGTGAATACAGGAACATAGATCTAGAGCTGGTCATCTAGAGGTCATCTGATCCAGTCTCTTAATTAAACTGAGGTGAAAAGAGGTTAAATCACATGACCAAAGTCACGTAAGTAGTAAGTAAATTAAATGCCCTACACCATTCTGCCTCTAAATATTACACATCAGCAACATCAACAGAAACCGCTTGAATTCCCTACCTAATTGTGTTATGTTGTTTCTACCTCTAAGAATCTGTCAAAGTTAGGGCTTTCTAATCAGCAAAATATGAATTTCCAGTACTTCTCTAAATCTTGATATCCAACCTACTACTGTTGCCATAATGAAAAATAGCCCATTAGGAGCTGGTTGTGTTAAATCTTAAGTTGATAATTTTTTATATTCCTTAATAGAGTTCTTGTTTCTAATTTTCAGTTCTAAAGTTGTTTGATATTTATGATTTCAGATATGATTTCAATTGGCAGTCTCTGCTAATGTAGAATGTGTAAAATCTAAAAATACATTGTTGGAGAAAGAGTAAAAATGAGGTGACTAATTATGACACTGTGTGTTTTTTTTTTCCCATTTACCACCAGCAGATGGGTACAGTAGTTCAGACTCTTTTACCTCTGACCCAGAGCAGATTGGAAACACTGTAACTCGGCAACGGTCAGTATTTCCTGCAGTAAAGACCTTTTAAAATATTTTGAACACACCACAAATCATTCTGTCATCCAAAAGCTATTTAATTGCTAGTATAGCTGAATAGAAACCAAATAATTATGGTATTTACTGTTTTAATTAAGTGTGGAACTTTTATGTATTTTGTAGATGCTGTTTAAAAAATAATTTTTAAAAAATGTTAAAATGTTTAAAAGTATTGTTATGAATTTAAACATGAAAATTTTCAATGTACGTGGAATAGCAGAAGAGAGGATTGTATATGAAACTCTACTATAAAACTTAACTAATGGTAATAAAGAATTGCCACTGGTAATAATAAAACTGCCTTGCTTGTTTGTATCCCCTTCTGAACTTCTTTCTCTCTGGAGGCTTTTCAAAAGAGCTTTTAAGTCTTCCACAGTGGAAGTCCCTTTATTAGTCCCTCTATATCTGAACAGTATAAATCTAAATAAGGTGGCAAATAAGTGAACTTATTGGATGTTATCAACTTAATAGTAGCAACATGTGAATTTTACTTTTAAAACAGCCTTATCAATTTCTGTGTAAAAAAGCTACTCCATCCATAAATTCAGACATTTAAATCTGATTTTTTAAAAAGTTGTGGGTTTTCTGGCATTACTGTTTACAAAGAAGTATATGTTCTTGACTTATGCACAGGGACAAAGACTTCTCTCCCTTCATTCTTGCATATAGGCAATACCTCTGTTCATTAAAGCACAGTTTTTCTTCTCCTGATTGCGTATATATCCTTTATTATTTTCTTGAGTTTCCTACATTATGGAAATTCATATATCCAGTTTTCTTACTTGTGACAAGATTAACAAAACCCACAGAACGAAGTACCTTTTCAGAGTATAGATAATGCTTTGTTTGTAATTGTATAACTAGGATATGGCAGCAAAGAAATGATTCTCCAGGGACAGCCAGATCCAAGCCAAACTTCCATCTAGGAATCTGGCCTGCAGAGTGATAAGAATGTGCATTTCCTTTCCTTCAGGGATATGTGGGCTACCCTGGATATTTCTGCCTGGCAAAGCCCCTTATTTCAGAAAGCCATCTAGACCAGAGGGTAAACAAGTATGAAAGCCAATCAGTTAATTTGGGAGTCGGTAAAATTGAAATGTTTGTTGTATTATGTCAAGTTAATATAAAAATAAAAAAGCTACAATAACTATCACTGGTTCAAGTAGTTCTTTCATGAATTTTATTTTGCAGATCACATTCAGGAACATCTCCAGATAACACTGCACCTCCACCCCCACCTCCAAGACCTCATCCCTCCCATTCTAGATCATCATCTTTAGATATGAATAGAACCTTTACAGTCACAACAGGTTAGAGAACTGTGATATAAGTTAAATTTAATTCAATTCAATTTTGAAATTGGACCAAATAAAGCGATATAATGTCATAATTTTAGCCCGTTCTTAAAACACGTGCTGTTTTGAAACTATTATTTCCTTTGTAGTTAGAATGACCAGGCTTACAAGAGCCCAGACAAGTGTTGAGAAAATGCACCTCTGTCTCTTCATTGTAGAGATGTAGAGGGATTACGTGTGTAGATTCTGCATGTGTTGTCAGGGGATGGCCACTGTATTGGTTTTGTTGAATTGCTTTCATTGTTCCTTTTTAAATCTTTATTATAAGGAGCATCTTGCTAAAGATAGGGGTGGGAAGAGGGATTTACTCAAAAATGAGTGTTTTATAACAAAATAGATCAATGAAATATGTTAAAAGGACTGCTTTAACATGTTATTGTTTGAAGTTAACTCTGAACAAGGTAAAGCTTCTTACTAAAAATGACCATGTTCCTCAACTGCTTAGCCTGTAAAATATGAAAACTTCAGTTTCATTTACTTTCAAGCCATTGCAGTTTTCTCTTTTTATGTTATTGTAACTGTTTATTGAGTCCTAACACCCTAGAAATCAAGTGGGAGCTTTTCTTAACTACATTGTTGGCTATTTGTTTTTTCAGTCCATTACATACAGACCAGGTAGATTACTTGTATGATTTTACCTGTTAAGGTTGATTTGCTTTCAACCATATACCAAAAAAAAATTCACTTTAAGATGTGCACACTTGTTACTACAAATGGTTTCTACATGATAAAGTTATCAGAATCAAGCTGTTCTAATAACTATTGAAATTTCAGAGAACTTTTGGATCACCGTATTGACAGATTTATTGAGTACATCCTGATTTCTAGGCAGTGGAGAGATATAAAATCAGTAATCAACAGGCATTTATTAAGCTTGTAATTCTGTGCTAGGCACTAAGAATATAAAGACAGGAAAGAGAAACAGTTTAAAAGAGCTTAATACTTTCTATCTGGAAACAACCTATAATATGCAAATCCATACAAAATAAATATTGAGGTAATTATGAAGGAGAAAGGCAGTAACTTTTGGATGGGGGGGGAAGAACACAACAATTATAATGAAATGGCATTTGCCCTCGTGTTTGCAGCTGACATACTATGTCCCTTTGATGAACGGTGGGGCTTCCCATTTCATTTAATTGTCATTATACAAAAAGACCTTTCTACTTTAGACACCCATAGGGGTGGTCATACCTTAATTCTCACTTTCAACTAAAACTGTTTTAGGTCTGATTGTGAACTCTGAAATTTTCCTTTTTGATTATTTCTTGTCCTTTCGTGTCTCTCTGTTTCACTCCTAATTCTGTTCTTCATCTCCATGACCTCTCATCATTTCATCCATTTCTGGTCACTCTCCACTAGAGCACTGCTCTAGATTCACTTTATTCTCTTTATAGTCTTGATCCTGTAGGTAATCAGTTCCACTAATGCACTGTTCTGCAACCATTGATCTATTTTGTCATTATCAGCTCTGACCCCATCATCTACCTTCTTTGATCTGGTTCCTGAACTGCCATATGCTGTTGGAAAAAGTCATACGCCCCTGGTGCAGTAGATAGAGCACTGGACTTGAAATTGGGAAGCCCTAGCTTCAAATCCTCCCTAAGACTCTTAGCAGCTTTGTGACCTTTAACAAGTCATTTAACCTCTCCCAGCCTCATTTCCTGGGCCCAGTAATATCTAAGATCCCTTCCAGCTCTTAAGTCTGTGGAACTCAGTTTCCTGAAACTCTTAATGCTACCCTACCCTTTTTCTTTTTAGAAGATGACTCCCTGTATATTTCTTTTACTTTCATTATGTTTCTGCCTTCACAGTGTCTTGCTACATAAAAAGTGTCAAAGTCACTCACATTAAAACCGTTCTTCACTTTGTTCCAGTCTCTGAGGAAGGGTTGCTTTCTCCTTGCCAAGATTAATCCATTTACTCAGTAAACTCCTTAAGGGCAGTAGCCTTTTCTTTATATTTGTTTTTTCGAATCCCTAGAATTTAGAACTTATATGTACCTGGCACATAATAAGCACTTAGTTAATGCTTGTTGATAAATTGAATGCCTTTGATCCCATCCTGCTCTGTTTTCTCAGAAAACATGCCCCTCCCATCCTTTCCCATCTCTTTTCTGTTATAAAGTATAGATTTCTGTTTGATATTTGGCTTCAGCCTCTCTTCAAATTGATCGCACATTATTGCCCCTCTCACTACATTCCAGTGTTAACAGGCCCACTTGCTGCTCACTTATACAAAACAGTCCCTATGTTCCTTATCACTGGACTGTTCTCTCTCCTCAATTCTAGAGTTTTTTCAAGGCTCAGCTTATGTCACTTCAAGATACCTTTTCTGCTTTACCCTAGTGTTTAATGCCTCCCTCATCCTTCCAAAAATTGTATTTCGTTTGCTTATATGTGTATTTTTTTTCTTTTGCTTAAGGCAGCAGTAGAACATAAGTTCCTTGAGGACAAGGATTGTTTTGTTTTTGTCTTTGTTTCCCTAGAGCCTTGCATATAATAAGTGCTTTTTTAAAAAATGTTTTTCCCCAATTACATGTAATAACAATTTTTAGCATTTTTTTAAAATTGAGTTCTAAATCCTCTCCTTCCCTCTCTCTCCTACTCCTTCCCTAATACAGTAAGGAGTCTGATACAGGTTATATAGGTGCAATCATGTAAAACATATTTCTGTGATAATAGGTGCTCGATAAAGCATTGAGCTGAATTGGTAGCACCATCTTCCAGGAATTCTGGACTATTCTAACTAATTCTAGACTGTTCTTTATTCCTCACCACTCGTTTATTCGCCTGGCAAGTCTTGCCGGTTTTATTTCCATATCTCTCCCATCTGCCCCCTACTCAACCACTTCAGTTCAGGCACTTATGACTCCTCCTGCACTCCTTCCATTGCTCACATTCACATTACTCAGCTCAGCCTGGCATTTAAGGCTCTTCAAAATCTGGCTTAGCCAACCTGCCTAATCCACCAGATTTTATAATATTCCTTATCATACACTCTTTATTCCAGCCAGATTGGAATGTTTACTGTTTCCCAAATTCAATATTCCCTTTCCTATTAGTGTTCTCTCCATATTACCTTTTATTTTCTTATTTGTTTACAATGTTGCATCCTCCAAATCGAATCAAGCTCCTTGAAGACAGGGACTGTCATTTTTGTCTTTGTTATCACCAAAGCCTCAAAGAGCACATGGCACACAAATGCTTAATAAGTATTTAATTGAACTGATTCTTTAGAATTTGCCTTTAGATGACTGAGCCCCCATGTATTTTACAAAATAATAATTATGGTATATCCCCCTAGGACAACAACAGGCTGGAGTTGTTGCCCATCCTCCTGCAGTGCCTCCAAGACCACAGCCTTCACAGGTAATTTGATTAGTTCAGCATTTGCTTTTGAATTTCGTTTATTGCTGTCCATAATCCCTTTTTGCTTATTAGTCATTTGATTCTCTCACAGAATTAATTTCAAAGGAGTAAAAGGAGATGCTTAATGAGCATACCTAATTAATGTTCAACTAGGTGAAATTAAACCCAGTTTTTAAAAAAAAATTCTTTTAGTTCCTGCTGCTTATTAAAAAAAGCACAAAGTATTATTTCTTTATCGGGGAAGACAGATTTATGCTCAGAATTATGGTACACATTTTAGGTGGCTACTTCCCACATCAATTAATTGGGTAGATAGTTATGAATTTTGAGTGAAAAAAATCACTCTAGGATAGCTGTATGAAGCAATTGCAGCAGTATCCAAGAGTAGTGACTGATCCTTAAAAAACATTTAAGGGCATAAGGGGAAAAAAAAACAACTGAAGCAAAGGAAAGAGAAGTAAGAGCCAGAGGAAACCTTATATAATAATCAACTGAACAAGCAGTGGAAACTCAAATAGAAAGGAAAACCAAGTCATCATGGAGAAAATAAATTGCGACTTTTGAAAAACATAAGGGGAACAAGAAATTAAAGATTAACGATGTCATGTTTTCAAAACTAGAGAATGAATTTGGCAGATTGTTAAGCAATGATCTCTTTTCACAATAGCTGTACAAGGCAACAAGATGTGAAAAGAACAAGCATTTTTAAACTTTTATTTGATCTGGCCACTACCCTTTCCTTTTTCTTTCTTCATTCCTCTGCCAACAAGTATCTTCAAAAAGTAGACTTTTCAGGGCGGCCCTTCCCTCTCCCCCCCAAATTAGCCATCCCTTTCACACTTTGTAAATTTACAGATTTTCCTTCCTTTTTCTTTTTTCTTTTTTTTTTCCCTGGAGGACTACTAGCTCTTAAAAAAGAAATCTATGAATCCTTGGTCCAATGTATACAGATAAAGAAATTGAGTAGTACTTTTTTTGGGGGGGAGGGGCGGTGATGGGAGCCTTATTGATCTTTTAGAAAACTCTGTAGTCTTTGATAATGGGGTCCCTAGGTGGCTAAGTGGACAGATCACTGGGCCTGGCATCAAGAAGACCTGAGTTCAAATTCAGCCTCAGCCATTCAATTGCTGTGTGACCCTGGGCAGTTCACTTAACCTCTGTCTTAATCCACTGAAGAACCACTCTAGTATATTTCCCAAGAAAACCCCATATAGGGTCATGAAAAATTGGACACAACAAAGTGTATGATGATATTTTTTTTCAATGTTGAAGAAAAGGTAATAAGGTGAATTGAGCATATGCTCAAACTACTTTGGGAATATGAATAATGTATTAACGTATATTGTAGAAATTTGTCTTGGTATTGATAACAGTAATGTGTACAGAATAGGTAAGTAGTATGCTAAATTAAAATTCACATTAGTTATTCTCTCCATGCTATTTTCTTGATACTATTATAGGCTCCAGGTTCTCATGTGCATCGCCCAGTGGATGCTGAAGGCCTAATAACTCACACTAGTACCTCACCTCAACAGATACCAGAACAACCAAATTTTGCAGATTTCAGCCAATTTGAAGTATTTGCTGCATCTAGTGTAAATGAAGAACCTGATGATGAAGCTGAAATGCATCCAGATGTCTTGCAGGTTAGTAGTTGTGAGCATATATGATTTCCTTTTCAGGTAATGAATCTTCGCCTGCTATTCAACAAACATTTCTTTAACACTTTGTTTTCTGTTGAGCCCTGAGTGTGGAGTTTGAAAAAAGCATAAGTCATAGTCTTTTCCTTCAGGAACTTTACATTCTAACAGGGAAGCTGTGGCGTGTACACAAGTAGCTAAAATATAAGGTAGACTGTAAAGGCACAATACATCCAAGATCTGTAATATCTGTTAGTGTGGGTGTTCCTCTTCCCCACGTTGACAGATCACCCATCACCTTTGTTTTTAATGATACCCTGAATATAAGTTCTTTTTCCTTGAGGGGAAAAAATCCCTAGAGGGTATTAGGGGTAACCGAATACCTACTGAGAATAAGCCTTTTTCTTTTTTTTTATAATAAAGAAGATTCAGGCCAAAGACCTCTTCCCTCATAGACAAGTAGTCAAAGGCTATGAACAGATAACTCCCAAGGACAGAATTACAAATGAGTAGCAATCATATGAAATATTTCTCAAAAAAAACTAATAAGAGAAATGCTAGATGTCAATTTTTTTAAATTTAGAGAAGATTCTGGTCAAAATGTGGAGATCCATCAAGATCTGGTTTGTTATAGAAAAAAGAATTTGCTATTGCCTGAAAAGGGCTGCAGAACATCCAAAAGTTCCATTTGTACCATTTGATAATTATTGTAACACCTTGCTTCACACCTTCCTAATTGACTACCATATTTAATTAACTAGAGACTCTTATAGTTTAGATCATATATAGTTGCTTGTAGTCATGAACTTCATTATAAGAAATTCAGAGGCAAGTACAGGTTAGGAAGTATATAACTTCCCACTCACGTACTTACTTTCTTAACCTTTACAAAATCTTTATGAGAATGATTTACACACACACACAATCATGGCAGGTCATAATCAAAGAAATTTCTAACTAGGAGTCCAGATGGAAGAGGTATTCTCTTCTGGTATGGCCCTCCAGATATTTGTCAGAAAGCCTGCTGATTAAATAAAACTTTCCTAAACAAGAGCTTCTTAAATGAAATGAATAACTACACAAAAGTTCTTGTACTACTGATTTGCTCAGAAAATGCAAGTTGATAAAGAATGCCTCTTGTTTGTACTATGATGTACTGTTGGCAGAATAGGTAGCCTGGTCCATTGGTACATATTACTTATATAGGCCTTGCAGGTGGACAGTGATGAACTGAGCCCTGAATTAAGTAGAAGAGTGGATTGGATTTACTTGGGAAATTTTCGTGTGTTTTTTCAATAACCTTATGATTCTCTCTGAGGGAAAAATATTTAGCCTGTTGACTGCACTATACTTCAGTGACTATATAACTGGGAATTACATAATACTACTGCCTGTGAGACATCTGTATTGAGGAGAGATGAAAGACGTATGATAGAATGCATCATTAATTGCACACGAGAAATGGCATAAAAGCTATGATCAGAAAGATATATTATGAGAAAAGGAGGTAGGTTGAGTCATGTAATGAAAGCCCATGGATATAACTCAGGTGAAGTGCTCTACTGATTCTTGCATGATATTAAGAAATCTAGAGGGAGGCCTCCAATATGTTGGGTGAGTGAACTTTTTGTGGAGAATTTATGGTAGACTATGGAAAGGCATAGAGGATAGGAGAGCTCAGATAGATTGTGACCTGCATCACTGGAAGAAACTATCCTCGGTGGTCAGATCACAGTTGATTGCAATGTCTTGTTAATTTAAAGAGGTATGACATTTGATATTTAACATGTGCAGTCTAATAGCTTACACAATTATATATGTGTATATAAGATCCAAGCCTAGAATAACCAAGGAAAAACAATTTCACTTATGTACTTCTTACCTTGTATTAATTTATACTTGGTATTTTTCAAGCACTTTCACACATATAATACCATTAGGCCGAAGCATGCATAGTAATTCTGCATAGTTTTAAAACTTGATGCTTTTCAAAAAAATTATTTTGAAGTATATCAGTTGTTGATATCTTTAAAAATATATATAGAAATCCTAAGCGTGAGACCCTGGCATGCTTCATTTGAAGAATGGGAAAAACCTTTTGTGTGTATTATATAATGCATTTCTATTTTGTATGTACTTGAGCTTATATTCTTAGATTTTATGAAAATGAGAGTTTATTGCAATATTTAGTGCCACCAGTAATGTTTGCAAATGGTTTTACATAATACAGACAGTATTTGCTATGTTTGCAATTCACTACTTATAAAATTTATTTCATGCTTCTGGCTTATATAGTTTATTCCCAATCGAAACCATCCTATAACTGATTTTTTTAAATTACATATCAACTTCACGGAATAATCATGTTTTGGGAAAATAAGAACAAAATCCCCATTGGCAAACTAAGTAACTGTTCTGTAGTATCTCTTATCTATAGCATATACAAAGTGAGTTAATAAATCTTGAACTAGTACATTCTTAATGTTAGCTGAAATGTTGCACTAAAGTTTAGAAGCTACTAGCCATCCCAGAAATGCTATGGAATTTTTTTAACCTTTAAAAACAGTTTGTGGTCAGTGGTCACACTTAGAAAATCCACAAGTTTATTTTACTTAATTAATTATTCACTAAATGCTTAATTATACGTTATGTTATACGTTATGTATTTGTAGGTTGAAAAAACTTCTGATCCTTCAAGTTCTCTTAGAGTTGCCAAAACAGATGGAAGAGTTGAGGAAAAGACAGCTGCTAGTGCTCCTGCCAATGTGGTATCCAAAGAGCCTTTTAAAATATTTGTTGATTGTTTTTATGCTTATACAGTTATTATATGTCATGAATTTTAACTTTTTAAGAAACTTGACAAGTTAGAAAACCATATATATGAACTTCATGGAAATGAGAGATCTAATCCATTCTTTTGCCTTTAGGTAGGGCTGTACTCTGGTCATCTTATTTAAAAGGAGAAAAAAGTAGTGACTCCATAATTGTGTACCTGAGTTACTAGAGGATATTGTTTTGTTTTGTTCAATAAAAGTAGAGAAGTGTAGAGGAGGGATGGTTTTAGAGAGACAAACAGTGAGTTTTGTTTTGAAAATAATGAGTTCTGATGCTCTAGATGCCTGCAGTTAGTCACATAGGCATTAAGCTCAGAGTAGAGACTGGGGTGAAGAGATACATCTGAATTGTCATCTGCATGAAGATAATTGAACCCATGAGAGCTTCTGAGATGATGGCATAGAATCATGGGAAGAAAGATCTTTAATATATATTTTTCTAGTTTGTCAAGTTTTGGGGCAATAATTTCCCTTAGCTTAAACATCTCTGGATAACATAAATATTTGTAATCGACAACCAGTGGCCCATTAATTTTAAGAATGATTTGTTAAAGTTGTAATACAGAAGAATCTGAGTCATTCCTTAAAGTTTTTGGTAAGGGAATTTGAAAGAATAAAAATGCTTTATTTTACTAAATTTTCTTTTTGAAGGCTTCATTAAAGACTTACTTTTAAAGTTACCTATAGCTCTTAGTTAACATTCTTTTTCCCATTCATTGTAATTTGTTTTATATATACCAAGTCTTTATTTTTAGACCATACAGAAAAAGAGGAAACAACAATGATGTATTGGTCTGTACCTCTGGACCATTTCCAGCATTTAGATTATTTAGGAGGTAACATAAAGTTGCATTTCTGGAGGCTATCCCTACATATACTGTTGTTTCTGATGGAAGGAAGAGGAAATGTTTTGAAGTTTATGATAGTATGTGTGTACATCTTAAATTGAATATCGTCCCCCAGAACTCAATGATGTCAGAATATTTAGTAACTATCCATAAAAGCCTTTGAATAATGTTCTCTATCAAATTAATTTTATTGTATATATAACTTTATTAACGTCTTGTATGGTAGAGCATTGTGCGAGGCACTAGGAACTAGGTATTTATTGTTTTGTATTACTTGTAGGGCAAAAGCACAACACCTCTTGCTCCACCTCCTAAGCCTATTCGTAGAAGATTAAAATCAGAGGATGAACTAAGACCGGAAGTTGAGGAACATTCACAAAAGACAGGTGTCTTAGCTGCTGTTCTAGCTTCACAGCCTTCTATACCTAGGTAACCAAAGCTAAAATTTTTAAATCATTTATCTGGAATCACTTTTTCCTGTTCAGATTGAACAGTTTGTGGTTGTATCCGTTTCAGTTGGGTAAAGGTGCAATTGTTGTTTGGGCAACTTTCCCATTTATTAGTATGTGTATGTTGCTTTAGACTTTGTTCCTTGTTACCAGTCCTCTGCTTTCCTTCTCTCCTCTTCCTATCAGAGTCTAAAATGGCTGATTTGGAAAGTTGAGGGCAGCCATTATAGTTCTTTTTTTCTACCTCTATAAGTAGGTCATGGATCAGAATTGTCAAACTTTTAAAAATGACATTTAACATTTTAACTATAGGTGTTCTAAAGTTCCTTCTGTATGTGTAGTTGTATGTTCTAGAATATGGATAGTTATATATTAAATTGCCATAAAATTGCCAAGAATTTCTTCTATTCAGTATCTGTATGTGAAAGCAGTAGTATAGAATTACTAGGGATGAAGAGAATTTAAAGATAAGAAGTGGACTATATTTTTTCCCTTTTATCTTCTCAGATCAGTTGGGAAGGATAAGAAAGCTATTCAGGCATCAATTAGACGCAATAAGGAAACCAACACGGTTTTGGCCAGATTGAATAGTGAATTGCAGCAACAGTTAAAGGTAATTTTCTGGGTTCATAATTATGACCAAAAAAATGTCGTATGGTGGTATTTTACTTCTGTGGGGGAAACTTTGTATTTTTTAAATGTTTTTATGAGATTTTGAATCAGCACTGTGAACAACTATTTTAATCAACTGTTGTATGCAAGCTACCATGTGCGATAATGGGGATACAAAGACAAAGCGAAGCAAAGGTCCAGTCCTTAAGGAACTTATATTTTACTACTCCGGTACTACAAGTACAAAGATAAATTGAGAAGGGAGAGAGTACCAACAAATAGGGAAACAGAAGGGTTTCCCATAGGAGGTAGTGGCACTTAAGTTAAGCCTTGAAAAAGCTTAGCAATTCCAAGTACCAGAGGCAAAAGAGGACAAACATTTCAGGCATGTGGAACAGCTTCTCTGTCAAAGGAATGGAGACAGGAGATGAATACTTAGTTTGGAGAAAGTAGATGTACTTGGTTCCCTACTTTGCTTTATTATAAGACTGAAAAAAGAAATATTGTCCTATTGGGACCAAAAAAATTTCTATAAATTAATATTTGTTTGATTTAATTGATAAAAACAACTCCTCCATGGAAACTCCGCACTTTGATGTAGATCATCAGTTTATGTGCAGCTCAGTCTTGGAGAGTTGCCTGGAACACCGAGTTTACAACTAATCTTTGATCATTTGACTAGTTGTCAGAGGGAGTAACTGAACTGAGTTTTCCTGACTCCAAGGCTAATCTTATATCCATTCTACCATGCTGCCAACACTTTAATTCTTTACAAAAAGACAAACTGCAGTTGTAATCTATGAGTAGTTGTTTAGACAAAAATTTAAAATAGATTATGTTATTTAAAATGTGAGGGAAAAAAAGCAAGCCAGGTATACCATCTGTGTGATGTAGAGAGGAAGGGAAAGAAAGTGACTGAATTTGGTGATTTTCTGATTGGTACATAGGACTAGTTAGGTATAGAGAACCAACAGTGATCACAATGTGGCTGTAAAGAATAAAATTGCAAATATTTATATAAAAATATAATGACACATCCAAGAAAATCAAATATAGCCAGGTTTGATCACCTGAAAAGGAAACTAAGCTAACAGGTTAATTTCTGCTTTGCAAGTTCTTGTACATGTTTTCATTAATTATATGTCATAGAATTAATCTTGATATGAACAATCCCCCTTTTTTCTGATTTTTTTTTAAAGGCAGATGTACCCTGCTTTAGGCAGTAAATTTGTATGTGGAAAAAATTTGTATAAACCCTAATTTAAAAAAAAAGAAAAATTAAGTTTACATGGATAATTAAAAATCCTCATAGTGATTTGTAAAGTGAATATTCACTTCCTAATTGTTTTACAAGTTCATATATTTGAATGTGGTACATTCTTAAAGCAAAGCACGTTGGTGTTATTAAAAAAATGTATTAATTGAAATATTCCTGTACATGTAACTTTGTCACTTTCTTATCTTTTTTAGGATGTTCTTGAAGAGAGAATTTCCCTGGAAGTTCAACTGGAACAGCTTCGGCCATTCTCTCACCTATAAGCCAATTGCCGTTAACTGTGAACATACTCATTTTTAAAGGGGTATCGGGCTCTCTCTAAGCCAGTTTGAAGACCAGACATTTAGCTCACTGCTCTCTATTCAATGTTAAGTTTTGTGATTGTTTTGTCCTTGTATGTTCACCATTGTATTTAAGTTTTTTTGTTTTTTAATTTCAACAATAAAGAGGGCCAGGATGACCTTTTTCTGGAAGGAATGTTGTATTTGTTGCCACTCTTGATCTTTGCTGACCCACCCCCAACATAAAGAGCATATGATATTGGTCCATTGTATTGTGTTTAAGTGGCCAAAACTTTAAACTGGAATTTATGTACATAATGGGCTTCTTCAGCTGCATGTCAAGCACTGTCCACAGAAATATCTTTGTAGAAAAGGAAAAACAGTAAAGTGTAATGACTCTTAGAGTTGTTACTCTTTGGATTTCATTCTTTCCATATTACACCTATATTTTCTTTCTGAAAGTAGATCATTGAAACAGACTTCCTTCATAGTCTTTAAAATTGTCAGTACTGTAGTAGGCAAAGCATTCTCTGCCTATGTACTAGGTACAGGAAAAGCAGCCTGTCTCTTTGCAATAAACCAAATCATTCAGGGTGCCACAGAGTCTTCGCAGGCTGCCTTGCCATATCAACCAAGTTGTCATATTTCTTAATAACCCTATGGAGTGTAGCTAAAAGTCACCTTTTCCACACTTTTTTGATTTACCAGAATTCATGGAAACAACTATGATGTAGGGAACCTAGTGGTCTTTCCCAAGTCTCTTCTGCAGAAAAAAAAAAAAGAGGAGGGGGCAGAATTTTATCCCTAATATAGAGATTAAATTTCTCCCAACCATCACTTCTGTCTGCATGTTCTACACACTTATCTTTTAATAATTCACATTCACCAGTCTTGACTGTAACAGATTGTCATATATTGTGTGTCAATACCTCTGTGGACTTTGATTCCAACAAAAAGTACTTAGGATTTCTGGGTTACTGTCTGTCATCTTGTCACTAGCCTTATTCTTTGGGCATATAGACAGGCTTTATACCATTAACAGAGTTCCCTGAGTGTATCCTACTATTCAGGTTGATGTACTGTATTAGGATTTGTTGTATATTGTATGATACATGCCTTTTGATCTCATGTAAATTTGCTTTAATTGCTGACTAACAGCAGATAATCTATTTAATGGCTTATTCTGGCTGTGGGATCATAGATGTCAAACTGCATGGGTGTATCTCAGCAGAATCAGAACTAGCAATTGTGTGATTTTTACACCAATAAAACAGCACAATATTTTCATTTTTGTTCCTTTCTTAACTAGGACTTACGTAATACCTGTGTAAGTGATAGTTTTCTGCATCATGAAATGACACTAATTTTAATTTTCTGCCAGTTAGCAGAAAACCATTAGTTAGGTTTCCAATCTTCTGTATCAGTTCAGTCTGTCTACGCACTACTACTGCCTTAGGAAGCAAAAAGGTAATGAAGGTAGCCCTTAGAAATGTGTTATATTTAATTAATGTTGACTAGGTGAAGGTACTACATCTTATTCTATCAATTTCTAAGTGGCTATCCCAGAAGAACTTTAAAAATTTCTTAAGGTAGTTTAGTCAGAATACTACAAAAATGTAGATCACTGCTTAGTTAAGCAGTAAGTCTATAATCTTGTTTCAAAGACTGTCATCCTAATTTTCTGTTATCAAACAAATGTTAATATAGTCGCATTTGGCTAGATTTCTTATTTAGTCATTTTTTAGGTTTTTCAGTGAAATAAAAAGGCAGGAGGGAGATCTTCCAGGCTGAACTGTGTAATGAAAATAAAATTTCTGAAATACATTTAAACGTTTTTTTGGAAATCTCCCACCTTTTCTCCCCCAGCCCAGATCTATGATTTCTTCTTTCTAGGGAGCTCCCAGTGACAACATCTCTTTTACTAACACAAGATAGGTTATAAGGGGTGAGGAACCTGCAGCCTTGAGGCCATGTGTGGCTTCTAGGTCCTTGGTTGCGGCCCCTTCAGTCCAGGTCTTATGGAACAAATCCCCTTAATAAAAGGATTTGTTCTGTAAAACCTAGTCTCAGTCAAAAGGCCTACAGGGCCACATGTAACCTCAAGGCCGAAGGTTTCCCATCCCAGGTTAAATGATTGACCCAGGGTGGGCTTTCTGTCTCAAAAGGCTGTTCGTGTAACCCCTTTGCCATGTAGCCTCTCTGAACTCCAGCCTTTTAAGGTAATGTGTTATATACCAAATTCTTGTGAGATCTAAATTTAGGACTGTATTAACATTAAGAAAACATTCCAAGTTCTTCAAGAAATAAATTGTTTCCATGACCAGACCTCTGAATATTCTTAATGTGTTAGCTTGAAGAAAATTTAAGGTGGGATATGCGTGACAAATATGAAGATCTTAAAGATTGATCATTTTTTAAAAATCATAGAATATTAAAACTAGAAGAGACTTTAGAGATGACCTAGTCCAGTGTCCCTAATTTTACAACTGAATTTTACGAGCCCTGACATAAGTAGTAAGTGGAAGAGCTAAGTCTAACATCCAGGTCTTTTGACTTCAGATTCACTTTTTTTCATGTGTGTACACTCGTGCTCACGTGCAATAATTTCTCCTGGTTTTGTTATTCATTAGAGCCCAGGATGCAAATTTACTGTCTTCCTTGAATCAGTTTGTTTAAATCATTACAAGTTTAACAGTGGACATTAAAATCAGTTACCAGAGGAAGGGGTCCAAAATGTTGAGCTTAATTGTTTCTGTTAATTATAATAAATGTTTGAGCATAGATAACAGAATCATAGCATTTAGAGTTGGAAAGTGCCATCCTAGTTAACCTTCCATCCAATGAGAGAGTCCTTTTAATACCAGCACTCAGACATTTAGCCTGGATCCTTCCGAACAACTAATGAGTTCCTTTGGCGTTGTCATTGTCTAGTCATACTTCTCAATACTACTTTTGATTGCACTCTGCAACACTGATAACCATACCAATTTATCCTCATTTGCTGTTGAACAAATCCATTGACATTTTGGGCCTTGTAGAACAAATGCATTCTTGATATCTGTGAAACAACAACAAAAAGGTTTACTGTGAGTTCTGCTAATAGGACTCAAAAGAGATTTTAGGGCTAGTGTGTAAAGATATTTACAGATAATTACAGAATTTGGATTAGTTACTAATCAGTAGCATTTTCTAAAATATTTAATCTGATTATCAAATAGATTATTATATAACAGATTGAAGCCACAGTTTTTCCTCAAAATAGTTATAGACATGGTTCAGGATCCAAACAACAAACACAAAAAATTCTCATATATCTTAGATAAGAAATTATAATGAGCATTTTACCAAAGCATGCAGTGAATGGGTTTAATTATTACAAAAATCATTTTTCAGAGTATTGTGCCATACCTCAGGTTTATAAATAAAAGGTTAATTTCCTAATGAATACATAGATAGCAAATGCTGTAAATACTTGATAAACTGCCTATAAAATATACATCATAAAATAAATGGGTACAATGGGTAGGAAGCTATTTTCATATTGAATATCATTTCAGGTTAGTATTGAGATTAATGAAAAAAAGCTTGAAATGTTAAAATCGAATGAATAGTCCTTTGAAAATCCTTTTTGATTTCCATGATTTAAAAAAAAAACAAACCTGTCAGTTTAGAGATTAGCTCAGCTAAAAACATAACAGTCAACTTGCCTTTGGTAATGGAAGAGAACAATGAGAGATAATCCCACACATTTTAAAACTAAACCATAAAAAATTGTTTATATTTCATGTACTACATATACTTATATATGTTTATATACATATAAATTTTTAGGAACTGATGTTTTGCCAAAATCTTGTCTTTTTATAATTAATAGTAACCTTCTGCCTTATTAACAGCACTGTCACATTTTCCACATAACAGCCTTAACAGCCTTTTAGATTTGTTGAAGACTTCTAATCATGTCTTCTGTTAACTTTTTCATCACCAAGATAAGCTTTTTCAGTTTCCATGACTATCCACCATACACATTGGTTTTCAGATCTCTTATCATCTTAATCACCCACTTTTGTACATGCTGCTCTTGGTCAAAATGCCTCTTAAAATGTAGTGACTGGAAATGATCATAAATCTCCAGGCTGAGGTCTGACTAATGCAGACTGGGTCTATTACTTTCTTTAATCCAGCTGCTGTATCTGTATTAATGGGACTGAAGATGGTAGTACTTGTTAAGCAGCTAATCACCCTGTTTGCTCACTGTGCTTGTCAACTAAAATTCCCAGGTTTTTCACCAGAGTTGTTATATGAAAACAGCTTTAGAGCTAGAATTCACTTTAGAAGTCACAATCCAAACCCTCATTTTTACTGAAAAAATCGGTCCAGAGAGGTTAGACTTGTTTGAGGTTTGGTAGTAAATGGCAGAATGAGGATTCAAAGTTCCATCCTGTTTAAACATAGTTTTTTCTAATTAAAAACAAAACCTTTTTGTTGACTTCCAGTTTGGCAATTCTGACCTGATCCCATTCTTACAACTTTGGGTCACTTGTTAATATTTGACCTTGATTATATGTGCCTCTTTTATGTGGTCTTCTTATTCCACAATCTGTGCACAGCCCTTTTCAATCTGCAGTCGCTGGAAAACTCCCTGTACAGTCAGAGATTTCTTTAGATGCCACCCTCCTTTTCTTCCTCATTTGGATTTCGTCATCATTGGATTATCAGGATTTAGTTTCTTGGAGCTCTTCATCCCTCTTGAGCCAAATTTAATCTGAATTTTAGGCCAAAGAAATAGTACACTTCTCTTTTTTCTCTTTTTTTTTTTGAAGTCTACATTTTCAGACACCAAGCTAACATGTCTGACTATACCCAACATTCTCTTCCTTCACCATCTGTCCTGAAGATAATTTAAAATTCACTTTTAGTACTTAGTATTTGAATTCTATTTTTTTGGGAATTGTGAATTTCAAACTGGGATATGAAAATTTAAATTCTGTACTCAAGAAGAGTGAGGACATACATTTGGAGTCTGAGATGTCTTCTATTAGCAGCTGGTGGAGGGCTACCAGTGCTAGAAACTGATATGTTGTCTGAGTAGTCCTTTCAAATGGGGTGTGAGCTACAGTCCGACGAGAAACAAGAAGTGAGTCACTGAAGAGGAAGAGGCTGAGGTCATGGATGTGTTCATAGAGCCTGTGTAGAAATGGGAGAAAACCAGAGTATATATTTAGTTTGAATCTTTCATTGCTGGATCCTTTTTAAAAAATTTAGCTAGTATAGCATTTTCCTTACAGCAGACCATTTGAATGTTTTTGTTTTTGTTCTGATTATTACTTATCTGAGTAATATTCCTTTGTATCTGTTGGGAAACAATATCGTTGAGCTACCAGGAAGGTTCTGGAAGACTAGTTTGAACTGCTGAGTTAATATGCATATTTCATAACACTTTTCATCAAGAAAGCCAACACAGTAGGACTTTTTCCCATTTTTTTATTTTTTAATTTTTTTAATATAAATTTATTTAGTTTTCAACATTCACTTCCACAAGTTTTTGAGTTCCAAATTTTCGCCCCATCTCACCCCTCCCCCCACCCCAAGATGGCATGCATTCTGAATACCCTTCCCCTAGTCTGTTCTCTTCTATCTCTCCCCTTCTCTTATCCCCTTCCCCTTCTATTTTCCTGTAGAGCAGGATAGACTTCTGTACTCCATTTCCTGTATTTCTTATTTCCCAGTTGCATGTGAAAACATTTTTTTAAATGTTTTTAAAACTTTGAGTTCCAGATTTTCTCCCTTCCTCCCTCCCCACCCACCCTCATTGAAAAGGCAAGCAACTCAATATAGGTTTTACATGTGCAGTTATGCAAAACACTTCCATAGTAGACATGTGAAAAACTAACTCTTTTTCCCTTAATCCTATCCTGCCCTCCCATTTATTCTATTCTTTCTTTTGACCCTGTCCCTCCTCAGAAGTATTTACTTCTGATTACCCTCTTTCCCAATCTGCCCTCCTCTCTATCATCCCCCTGCTCTCTTGTCCCCTTCTCCCCCTATTTTCCTGTAGGGTAAGACAGATTTCCATACCCAATTGAATGTGTGTTATTCTCTCCTTAAGCCAAATCCTATGAGAATAAGATTCCCTCATTCCCTCTCACCTTCCCCTGTTTCCCCTCCACTGTGAGAGACTTTTCTTTTCTTTTTTTTGTGAGATAATTTACCCCATTCTACCTCTCCCTTTCTTCTTCTCCGAGTATCATCCTCTCTCATCCCTTAATTTTATTCTCCAGATATGACCCCTTAATCTTCAACTCACCCTGTGCCCTCTATCTATCTATCTATCTATACATACATATAATTTTTTTCCTCCAACTACCCTAATACTGACAAAGTTCTCATGAGTTATAAATATCATCTTTCCATGCAGGAATGTAAACAGTTCAATCTTAATAAGTCTCTTATGATTTCTCTTTCCTGTTTACCTCTTCATGTTCCACTGAGTCCTGTATTTGAAAGTCAAATTTTCTATTCAGCTCTGGTCTTTTCATCAGGAATGCTTGAAAGTCCTCTATTTCACTGAATGACCATTTTTTCCCCTGAAGGATTATACTCAGTTTTGCTGGGTAGGTGATTCTTGGTTGTAATCCTATCTCCTTTGCCTTCTGGAATATTATATTCCATGCCCTGTGGCTCTTTAATGTAGAAGCTGCTAAATCTTGTGTTATCCTGATTGTGTTTCCACAGTACTTGAATTGTTTCCTTCTGGCAGCTTGTAATATTTTCTCCTTGACCTGGGAACTCTGGAATTTGGCTACAATATTCCTAGGAGTTTTCCTTTGGGGATCTCTTTCAGGAGGAGATCTGTGGATTCTTTCAATTTCTATTTTGCCCTCTGGTTCTACTATATCAGGGCAGTTTTCCTTGATAATTTCTTGAAAGATGATGTCTAGGCTCTTTTTTTGATCATGGCTTTCAGATAGTCCAATAATTTTTAAATTCTCTCTCCTGGATCTATTTTCCAGGTCAGTTGTTTTTCCAATGAGATATTTCACATTGTTTTCTAATTTTTCATTCTTTTGGATTTGTTTTACAGTGTCTTGATTTCTCATAAAGTTACTAGCTTCCAATTGCTCTATTCTAATTTTTAAGGAAGTATTTTCTTCAGTAATCTTTTGGACTTCCTTTTCCATTTGGCCAATTTTGCTTTTTAGGGCATTTTTCTCCTCATTTGCTTTTTGGACCTCTTTTGCCATTTGGGTTAGGCTATTTTTTAAGGTGTTATTTTCTTCAGTATTTTTTTGGGTCTCCTTTAGCAAGCTGTTGACTTGTTTTTCATGATTTTCTTGCATCACTCTCATTTCTCTTCCCAGTTTTTCCTCTACTTCCCTTACTTGCTTCTCAAAATCCCTTTTGAGCTCTTCCAAGGCCTGGGACTGATTCATATTTTTCTTGGAGGCTTTGGATGTAGGAGCTTTGACTTTGTTGTCTTCTTCTGGTTGTATATTTTGATCTTTTTCACCAAAGTAAGATTTATAGTCTGACTCTTTTTGCACTGCTTGCTCATGATCCCAGCCAATTACTTGAGTTTTAAACTCTTTGTTAAGGTAAGAGTCTGCTTCCAATGTGGAGAATGTACTGTCCCAAGCTTCAGGGGTTTGTATAGCTGTTTTCAGAGATACTTGTAGGGACCTGTAAATTTTCAGTTCTTCCAGGGTGGTATGATAAGGGGCAGGTGTTTACTCCTTTCCTGGCCTGTGACCACAAGTATTCCTTTCTGTCCTGTAACTGTGAGGAGGGGTTTCTCTTCACAGCCACTCCAAGCTCCACCAAGCCAGCACTCCTCCTCACCCCAGCACCACTGCCCAGAACTGTGACCCAGATCCAAACACGGGCAAAGCAAGAGATTCCTGCCTCAGCACTGGCAAAGAGATCCCTGCAATCCCTCTCTGATCAGCCACTGGATTCCCCCTCAGTCTGTGGGCGGGAAGCTTGGGAAGCACCTGCCCCTCCCCCAGGGCCATGCTCTTGGGGAATGGAGCTGAAACCCCGCCTTCCTCTCTGAGCACCACAGAAACAGACTTTTCCCACTGACCTTCTAAGTTGTCTTTGGCATTAGTGGATTGAGAAGTCTGGAAACCTCCACAGCTGCCGGAGATTCAGTCCTTTGAGGCCTGCTCCAGGTTTGCTGCGGCCTGCCCTCCCACGCTGCACTGCCCTGTGCTCCCAGCCCAGTGAGATACACCTTTCTGATCAATCATCCAGGTTGTCTTGGGCTGGAAATTTGTTTCACTCTGTCTTTTTGTGGATTCTGCTGTTTCAGAATTTGTTTAGAGCCATTTTTTAGGAGTATTTGGAGGGGTTTAGGGGAAAGCTCGAGCAAGTCACTGCTTTCACTCCACCATCTTCCCCCATATTTTTTTAAATGACATAAGTGCTTTGGATTTCAATGTTTTATAAAAGTTTGGTAAGTTAGAGGACCTGGCTTCCAGTCATGGCTCCACTACTCGATGGTTGTGTGATTTTGGACAGTCACAGTTTCTCTGAAATTCAGCTTCCTCATTTGTAAAGTGGAGTTAATACTTGAACCACCCATCTCACTGTGTTGTGCAAAACCAAATGAGGTGCTTTATAACATAAGGAGCTGTAGAAAGAAGTTGCGGTTAATGCTAGAAACTCATGATCCCTAGCTGTCAATGAATATAAAATTGAAATTGTTTATTAGATGAAGTCATGCTTGAAAGCAAGCAGGGACAAGAACATCAATTTTTAAAAAATTTATGAAGGCCTACACAGTTGGTAAGACTGAGGAGAAAATCATTTTGTGAGATTGTTACCACTGTTTTCAAAGTAAGGAAACAGGAACAAAGATGTCAGATGTCTTGTGCGAAGTCACACATAGAGTTTATCTAGTCCTTTCTTCCTGTTGTGTTTTGTTCATGTTTCCCATAGGGCTACTTAGACTCCTCTCCTAGGGATACAAGCACACATACAAAAAGGAAATAATAGTCCCTGCCGTATTCTGTTGGCCTATACTCTGTTCTTGAAGCCTACGCTTCAGCAAAATAGTATTAAGTTTTGTGTGCATGGCTTGACAGAAGGCTGACAATATACTCAACTGCAGTCAACATTATACCTCATAAAGAAGAAAGTTTGGAGTTTTCTTAATTTTTACATATTTAGATAATTTGAATAATCTTATAATTGAAGACACTAAATATTGAAGCTTGAGTTGTAATAATAGAGGAGCTGAATAATTTTCTTCTGTGTTTCCTCATCCTACCAGTTTGTCTGCAATTTATAGTTTGATAGTCTTCCATCCTTACAATTCTCTGTCCTACTTGAATGATCATATTTAAAATCCTATAGACACAGAGTCATGGCACAATTGTGTAATCTTATTTTTATGTAAAGCAAAAGCTTCATATACCACCTGCCATATGCCAGTGGGAAGAATCTGGGAAGTATGAACTTGAAGTGATATGTAATTCTTCCCCTGAGAAAAAGATATATAGAGGCACTGATTTCCCTACATTTGGCAGCCATCATGTTCAGGAATGAACTAGCTTTGATTTTAATACAGTATTGAGAAAAAGGCTTTCCAAAAAAAAACAGGAGGGAGGGTTAATAGATCACATACAATTGTACTTTGACTTCATTTAAAATTTTTTCCCCACTGAGTACTTTGCACATTAGGTGGGGTGAATTCATAGCATAGACTTCAATGTTCTATTCCAATTACATATAAAATTCAGTTTTCTGAGCTTCTGTTTCATCATCCACAAACTACAGTAATAGCATGTAATACCCATACCAGGTTGGTGTGATGAAAGGGCTTTATAAACTGAAACACTATGACAACAGAAGCCAAAGATGACAGTAACAAGCCACCAAATAATCTTGCCATTTGACTTTGGGGAGGAGTAAGGAATGTTATCTTTGGCCGCCTGGACCAGTCATGAAGAATGTAGAATGCAGAGACTACTGGCCTCAGACACTTGACACTTACTAGCTGTGTGGCTCTGGGCAAATCACTTAACCCTGATTGCCTCATCAAAACACACACACACACACACACACACACACACACACACACACACACAAAAAAAACAGAATGCAGAGACTAAAATCATTGCAAGTCAGAACAACTCTGAGGTACCACCTCACACCTATTAGAGTGGCTAAGGTGACAAAAAAGGAAAATATTGGGTGTTGGAGGAGACATCAGGAAACTGGGACACTAATGCACTATTGGTGGGGTTGTGAACTTATCCAACCATTCTGGAGAGCAATTTGGAACTATGCCCAAAGGGCTATAAAACTGTATACCCTGCTAGGTCTATATCCCAAAGATATCCCCCCCCAAAAAAAGGGGGGAGAACCTATTTGTACAAAAATATTTATAGCAGCTCTTTTTGTAGTGACTAAGAATTGGAAATCAAAGGGATGCCCATCAAATGGGGAATGGCTAAACAAGCTGTGGTATATGATTGTAATCCAATTATTATTGTGCTATAAGAAATGACAAGCAGGATGATTTCAGAAAAAACTACAAAGACTTACATGAACTGATGCAGAGTGAAGTGAACAGTACCAGGAGAACTTTTTACACAGTAACAGCAATATTATTCGATGAAGAACTGTGAATGACTTAACTATTCTCAGCAATACAATGATCCAAGACAATCCCAAAGGACTAATGATGAATTGTACTATCTGCCTCCAGATATTGACTGAATACAGACTGAAGCATGCTGTTTCTCACTTTTTTTCTTTTATTCAAGTCTTCTTGTACAAAATGGCCAATACAGAAATGTTTTACGTAATTGCACATGTATAACCTCTATCTGATTGCTTACCATCTCAGGGAATAGGGGGAGGCATAGAATTTGGGACTCAAAACTTTAAATAAAAATATTTAAAAATTTAAAAAAAATAATTCGGAGACTAAGAGCACCCAAGAATGTCCAATGAATTATATCAGGATTCTGTCTGTGCTTTATGTTCTTTTTTTACCTCAATGAGAAGCTGACTTTCTTATTGCAGCAGCGAAGCTGGGTCACATCTTGTACTCTAATTAGGAATCTGGTGCCTTCTGAGAGAGTCTGTGAATTTAAATACAAAATTCAAATCAGATCACTAATCTACCTAAGAATTTTTTTAAAGTATCTGCTATGTGTTAAGCATTGTGCTTGGTCCTGAGGAGACAGATAAAATATATGTCATCAGCTTTTTAATATTAAAAAGTCCTTTATTGTAGTCCCCTTCAACAAACCATTTAAGTTCTCAAATAACTATGCAACAGCTGGCTTATTGCTTAGTTCCACTTTGAAAACTATATTCAATGGACTAAATTATTTAAACATTTAATTCTTAGATTGATCCTAGAATTGGGTGATATAAAATATATTTGAGGAAGTTGATTTCTATTTTAAATTTCTTGGATAGCTTTTTTTTGGGGGGGGGGGAGATTTTAAAAGTTAGAAAAATGTAGGGTGCCATCTTGGATGGCCAGTCTGTGATGTATAAGGCTGAGTGATCCTGGATAAAGACTCAATCTCTCAGTGCTGTAGGCAATTCTGTAAGACTATAAATTGCTGGAAGGTGCTGATCTGCCTTAGTAAAAGGAATTTCCTCATTTGGGAGTTCCTTATTATCAATGACATCACAGATCCAGTCTCTATCCCTTTAAAAGCCAGACTGGGCCAGAATGAGAAAAAGTAGTTTGAGGAGAATTCCAGAGGAAAATTACAGAATGCAGTTGCTTAGGTTAGGGAATAAGACCCCCAACACATGTAACAGAGAGATAATCTTGCTAAGTTAAAGGAAGAGACAATGCCAGAAATTGTTACCAGTTTGAGTTCTACAAATGAGACTTTTTTTCATTTCCCTGTAACTTTTCTTTTTCTTGCCCAACCAAATGTAAAAACAACTGCCCCCCCATCCCACCCAAATGACAAAATTCAATTGAAATCACTAAATGTCCAGCCCATTAATGTTTTCTCAACATTTATTGTATGGAGTCTCATGTTAGCTACTGCTTTGGGAGAAAAAATATGGAAGGGTACCCCCCACGCAAGAGTCTGACTGCAGCGTAGGCCTGAGGCTTTGATAAGGTTTATATTTCTGCCCCTTTCATGAGTTACTTCTGGGCAGCAGGTCTACCTAAGCTCCCAGAGGCGTAAGTAGCCATAGGCACAAGACTAGGCACATTGGAGTACTTACAGGGCACCCACAGACGCTCCTTTCTATGTCTGACAACTGATCTTTCCTGTTGACGTTTTGCTTCAACTAGAAAACAAAGTCATTATTTTAGACAAACTCAATAATTGTTAACTTTGGTATTTATGAGGGGGGAAATATTCACTGCAGGGATCCTTTCTACAGCATTTAGGGCAATACTTTCAAAATCTCAACTAGAATTCTTTTTATTCTCAGTCTTATGAGAGAGGCAAAAAAAAAGGAAAAACAAGTTCATATTAACTGTGTTTTCTTTTCTTTTTCTTTCTTTCTTTTTCTTTTTCTGGCTAGGCATGGGGTTAAGTGACTTGCCCAGGGTCACATAGCTGTGTTATGTGTCTGAGGACAGATTTGAACTCATGTCCTCCTGAATCCAGGGCCATTGCACCACCTAGCTGCCCGACTATATGTTTTCAAAAGCAGCTTCCTGAGCATGTCTTAGCACCTGTACATATTCAGTTCAGTCTCTTCTGCCTTCTACAAATGCAGCACTCAAACTACGGTAGTCATTGTAAACTCCTTGAGGGCAGAGACTGCCATTTTTCATCCTTGTCTCGCCATGGCCTGCCAGAGTGCATGACATATAACTAGTAGTTAAATGTTGATTGAATTAATGAATAGGTGAATAATAACCATTAGGTACTAGAAGATTCTGAATTGGTAAACTTCAATGAATCAGGCAGAAAAGTCAAGTAATACATTTTAGAAAGATTTTCAGTAATAGGCTCTAGAGGGGAAGGATTTTGTAACTCCCTTTCAACCAGAAAATTGAACTTCTATATCCCATTCCAAGAGTTTTCTGGTTAATCAAGATTCTATCGTAATTCCTTTGGCAGCATTAGTTCTTACTGGGGTGGGGGACCTGCAGTCTCCAGGCTACATGTGGCCTTCTAGGTCCTTGGGTGCCGCTTTTTGACTGAGTCCATGTTTTACAGAACAAATGCTTTTATTAAGGGGATTTGTTCTGTGAAGTTTGGATTCAGTCAAAGGCCTGCACCTGAGGACCTAGAGGGCCACATGTGGCCTCAAGGCTGTAGGTCCCCCACCCCTGTTTAACTGATTGGGGTTGGGGTGGGGGTGTATTTTGAATCACATGGTTTGGATTGCTTTGCCACGGCATTGTTAGCTTTAGAGAAGTCCAAAATCAATTAACACAAGTATTATTAGAGAATTTTCTTTAAAATGTTGATCTTCAAAGAAAAAGTTGCACAGGAACTCAAAGTATCTTGGTCAAAATATCTTTAGTTTCTACAAGATCAAGCTGTCACAGTTACAGAAGATAAAGAATCACACGCATCAACCAACCTGATTTATGTAAGCTATGTATCTTTTCATTTGCTTGATTGCAGTAGTCAGATCTTCACGGTCCACGTGCTCTGAAGGTGTGTGAAGCCTCAGACCATAGAGAAGGTTAATGTATTCCTCAAATCTCCTTGGTGGGTACAAGAGCAGCTCCTGCAGGCTACAGATAATGTAGGGTAGATCTAAACCATCTGGAAAGCCCAATGGACTCCCTTTTTCTTGCTATTGCCACAGTAGTGCTCACCTCAAAACTCACCTCATCATTCTTGTAACAATGGTCTTGTCCTGCCTCTTCAAAAATGCCCGAAAGGATGGAATCATTTCTCTACACTGAAAAATGAGAATTACACAACTTAATTTTTATTACAACTTTGCTGCATAATACTACAGCCTTTCTTCCCCATGGGTATGTAATATGTAATGAAAACCAGCATACCATTAGTACAATAGACCTCTACTATAATGGAATCATATACAACACAGGGCTAACTGATCCAGCCCAAACATAATTATGTACAAGGAAAGCCCCCCATAATATAGACACTTCCAAGCTATGTGAACATTTATTCTTTCGGAGCCACAGTTTTCTTATCTGTAAAATGGGGCTAATAATACTTGCAAATGTCTACCTAACAGGTGGTTTTGAGGAAAGCAGCTTTGTAAACCTTGAAGTACAAATGTGGGGTTCTTATTTATAATAGATATCCTAGTCTTGTCCTCCAATATTATTTTAAGTGGGTTCAACTGCAATTTACAAATAAAATCTTCACCAAGTACCTGATCAAACTGGATTCTAATGCAGGTTTCATCATTAACTAACAGATTGCCTAACCTCCTACAGTCTCAGTGCCTTCAAAATAAGAACGATATTTGCCTTATTTATCTCAAAAGAATACATTGTGAAGGTCAAGTAAGATGATAAATGTGAAAATGCTTTGCCAAATAGAAAACACTGTTCAAACATAGAGTGATCTGATGATAATGGTATCCAGGGGTCAGCCTGAGATTGAATTATGGTCAGTAATGAATCAAGATCCCAATCTAATTAATCAAAAGGAGCTGCCAAATCAGTTCCCAAAATGAAAGTACTAGAAATCACAGGAAGATGCATAAGTAAGTGATGAAGTAGCAGGGCCCAAGGTTTTTGCTATTTGGCTAAGTTTTTTCACCTACCATAAGCTGCTAAGATTTTAATTTGACATGTAATCAAGTTACTGTGGGTGATGTTTTTGCCTAGATAGGTAGATACAGATATATATAGATATCCGTGCATCATATGCATGATATATCATACATCAAGTATGCATGTCATATATGTGCAAGCAATCACATATCGTATGCACATTTACAATTCCATGTCATATGTACATTGTATGGTAATATGTCATACACGTGTATATGTATAATATATGGTATGTATAACATATTACAATATGATCTCATATGTGTTTTACTTCTATAATAACTTACTTCAAAGGTCCCTTAGCTGCCATTCATTGCCTGATGAAATCTATTACATCTTATTCAAGTTGTGGTTATGATGGAGCTTTTCACAATGTAAGCTGGTGGTTCTAGTTGCAGATATTTTCTACTGGTGGTATACTCTCCCTATGTCTATGACACTGTTCATTTATTTGAGAGGGAGAGAGAGGGAGGCCCATATACCCATTATAAGGGACCCCAGAGTTGGATTTCCCTTCTATGGGAGCAATTACTGAAGCTAGAAGGAGTTGTATTATCTGGATTATCATTTTAGCGGCAGAGACAAGACAACTGAAGAAAATCCAAAAAATACTGGTTACCTTCAAATCTTCTGGGATAACATTCAAGAAATTCCTTGCTTTTTAACATGTTTTGGTGAAACTGAGGTTTCTCATTCTGAGAACAACTGTGCTAACAATAACAACAATAATAACTACCTTTGTATACAATGCTTCAAGGTTTGAAAAACACTTTATAAATGTTATCTAATTTATTCTCACAACCCTGTGAGATAGGTGCTATTATTATTTTCATTTTGCAGATGAGGAAATGGAGTCAGAGAAAGGTTAAGTGACTTGCTCAGGGCCACAAAGCTAGTAATTGTCTCTGGCAGCACTGGAATTCAAGTCTTCCTGATTCCAAATCCAGCATCCTCTCCACTTCACCAGCTAGCTGGCTCTAACCATAAGCCCCTTTTATTGGCGTGATTGTGTTATGGTCATTTGCATGAGGCAATCCAGAAACTAAGGGGAGCCAATAAAGTTAAGGACTACATCTGTGATTGCATTCCTATGAGAAACTCCCAGATGAGAAAATTTGTGCAAGTCTATATCTTCTCTGTATCTTACAGAGTTGCCTCAGGGCACTGAGAGGTTAAGTCACTTGCACAGGGTCACGTAGCCAATGTGTGTCAAAGGCAGGACTTGCATTGTCTTTAATGTCATACTCTAACCATTATACTATGTCTGGAAAAGAATAAATAGAATGGGGGGGAGGGGAATTCTTCCCTATTAATGATGATCTTTGACTCAAGGAATCAAAACTGAAGTTTCTCTTTTTAACTCAGAATAACCTTTGTGAACACTTCAATAATTTGATTAGAATAATAATAATGATATTCACAAAGTGCTTTAAGGTTTGCAAAGCACTTTAAATAAGTTATCTCATTTGATAACTTGCTAATGTCTCTGCCTTTGGTACCTTTTCAATTGTTTTCAGAACAATGGGGTAGTTGTTGAAGAAGTTAGTATATGTTTTCAACTGAAGTCCAAACTTGGTGAATATTTCTCCCAGGCATTGTGCTGGACCCCATTCTTGCAGTCTCTCTGTCAGTTCTCCCAGAAAATGCCTGTAATAAGAGACAGACATGACAGGTGAACTAGAACCAAGAAGTATAATTCTCTGCCCACTGGCTAAGACATTAATGTTCCATCCCTTTAGTCCACATTTTTAGTAAGACTTATGGCTAATTTTTTTTTTCTTGGCTTTGACTCTGACCTCCAGAAGTAGAGGGTGTGGCAAAAAAGTAGAGAGAGGGAGTGAGCCCCTGACCTCCTGAGGACCTCCCTTCCCTAAGAGTTCCAACCCCACATCTTCAAACATTTAGAGATATTAAGCATCCATAGAGAAAGAATTTCCTAAACTTCTTTTATAGATCCAGTGTTTATTAAATCCCACAGAAAGTTCTCCCCGATGTCTAATGCAAATTCCTCGGGAGAGGGGAGGTGGGTAGCTCAAGGTCAATTTCTCCTATTCTGTCTTTGTTGGAAATGATTACAGTTATTCCCTTCCTTATCATGATTTTCCCATCGTGGTTTCAATATATCGCAAGTTGGCATAAGAAATCAAATGGAAATGTTTTGGTCGTTTGGCAGAAGCTGCGGATGACATGGGAAAGCCAGCAGAGACACAGAAGAAAGTTTAGAAACTCAGAAATGCATAAAATATATGTTCATTATTGCATAATGTCAACCCAAATTTTATAATATGATACTGTTAAACATCCAATAAAAGAAAAAGAAAAAATTTAGACTTCTTCTCTGGCACAAAGGGAGGGCCAAAAAATTTTACATGGATTTTCCAGATTGTAGGGGCATCATGCTCCTAACTCCCACTATGTGAAAGAGATAACTGTACTCTCCTTTCAGTACCAACTAGGTGCTCAATGACAGTTAGGAAATTGTTTGTCAGCCTTCTCTTATCAAACTTACTTACGTTCCTTTCTCATTTGAGGTTCTTAGCTCATAAATAAATAATGACCTCCCCCTTTTCTCCCAACTACTTGATTACACTTCGGGAAATGAAGCATGGGTTCCTTTCCACTACATAATCAATATTTTGGTAGTAGGTATCCAACATATACCTGTTGAGATCTAAGACACACAGTATATCAGAGAAGATGATCTGGACGTCCATGGAACTTAGGATGGCTCTGTTTGATGCCAGGGCTGCTTTCAGTGGAGTGACATAAACATCTCTCACAATTTCCAACATCTGTACATACTTTCTCTCGCTTTTCAAGAGCTCTCCAGCAATTCTAGTCCTCTTTTCTGCAAAATCCATCTGGAGCTTCCTTTCCTATGGAAAAGCATAAAAACAGATAGGAAAGTTAGAAGAAAACACACCCTTAAAGGTTTACTATTTCAAAATGAGTAAAGGTAGAGGTAGGCACAAGAACTAGCCTATTTGCAAATTAACTTTTTGCATTGGGAAGTTTTTTTAAGTGCAAGATGGGAAATGTGAAGTGGAGCCATGATAATACTAACCACTTATTCTTATGCACAATCTCTGTCACTGCCTTTCTCCAACAACCCCATGCCCAAACAGCTTTTCTTAGGATCACAGACAGATTTAGGATGGGAAGGGACTCTGGAGGTCAACTAGAGCAGAGGTGTGGCTGCAAAACACTCCTGAGTGTAGGTGAATCAGATTAAAATGTAACTGAGAAATATTTAACAAAATAATTAAAAATACAGCATAGATAACGTTAATTTGTAGTTTTCTAAGTCAGCACACAGCCTGAAGGAATCCATTTCTATTTGAATTTGACATCATTGATCTACAGATTTTCATATTATAGATGAGGAAAATGAGTCCCAAAGAAGTTAAGTGACTTGCCCAAGGTCATGTAAATAGTGGCAGAACCAGGTTTTGAACCTAGGATCTCTGTCTCCAAATCTTTTCACTGTCCATACTGCCTTCTTACCAGATTAGCCTTAAAAATTCAGGAATATTATTTATAATATGGTCTCTCTACATGGTTCCCATAGTAGAGGGTTTTTTTGGTGAGGCAATTGGGGTTAAGTGACTTCCTCAGGGTCACACAGCTACTAAGTGTTATGTGTCTGAGGCCGGATTTGAACTCAGGTCCTTCTGACTTCAGCACCAGTGCTCTATCCACTGTGCCACTTAGTTGCCCCACATAGTAGAGGGTTTTTTTCTGAGAAGAGATAAGGGCCTTCTTTTCTGTTAGTCTCTCTCCATAATCACATCAGCTCCCATAGATTAAATGATCATTTCTATGCGAATGAATCACAGATCTATGTACTCAGGCCTAGTGTCTCACCCTGAGCAACAATACTGTACCTTGCCTATTAACTATTTCAAACCAGATTTCTCACATAGATCTCTCAATCTCAACGTGTCTAAAACAGTATTATTTTTGTCCCCCAAACCCACCCCTCTTCCAAATTTCCCTTTTTCTATAGAAGACACCACCATTATTCTAATCTCCCAGGTTTGTAACCTCAGCATTATCCTCAACTTCTCACTCACCCTCTTCTCACACATCCAATCAATTGCCAAATCTTGCTGCATCTACCTCTGTTTCCCACATCCAACCATTTCTCTCTACTTACAGAGCCACCACCATAGGTCAAGTCCTCATCACAGCTACATAGATTATTTCGACAGCCTCCTAACTGGTTTCCTTAGCCCAAGTCTGTCTCCACATGGCCACTTAGCTCCCAAAGGCTAGAGTTTTCCTCTTAGAATTCAAATGGCATAAAATCTTATTACAATATAACAAAACAAAACAAAAAAATCAGCATGACTTTCATAGATTAAAATTAAAATATAAAAAGTAAATTTGCCAGAAAAATAAGAAAGTAAACATAAGATGAATCAGGAGGCATTTATTAAGTACCTACTATGTTCTAGGAAATGCACTGGGTGCTGAGGATACAAAAACAAAAGGAAAAATCAATCAGTCAAAAAAGCATTGATTAAGCACATACTACATGCCAGGCACAAAGCCATGCAGGTACAAAGAAAGGCAAAAAGACAGTCCCTGCCCTCAAGAAGTTCATGGTATATTGTGGGGAGACAACATGCAAACAACTATGTAGAAACAGGCTATATAGAGAATGGTAAAAAGCTACATGCATAGTCCCTATCCTTAAGGAATTTACAGTCTAGCTGGGGAAAATTACATTCAATCTGACTTAGAGACACCTTCTACCTAGTCATTTTATATAAGCACGTTTGAAGCACATGTTCAAATGGCAACAATAATCTCATCTTGGTAGAGTTAGGAAAGATTGCTATATTTCATTTAGTAATATTTAGAAGTGCATGTCATATATTCCTTATGTTCTTGGATCATTCAAAAATTCTGGTGTTGGCTACGTATTTATACATTTCATTTTTCAAATGCCAGACCTCTCAATGTTGTTTCAAGACCTCTCGGCCAAGGGGCCTTTATAATGTTAGGAGGAGATATTATAGTATTCAGCCTCGCCTTATAAACTCGCTACTATTCATTCGTTACTGGTAGTAGATCTCATTGTGCAAGAACTAGTGTAGACAACAAGGTAGCATCAGTGCAGTGTCTGGATCAATTCATTACCAGAAATTACTGACAAATCATTTCTTTATGACAGAATTAGATAAAATACCGTCTTCTGTGGTAAGAGGTCCTCACCAACGTACATTTTAAAACAAGAATTGAAGTAACAATAATGATTAGAGTGATAATAATAATAATCACATTTATAGAGAGCTTTAAGGCTTACCATATATTAACTCATTTGGAAGTTACAATGATTTCCATGCATTTACTCTCTGACTTAGAACAAGAAATTTGTTAATGAACAAATTAAAAACAAGACCCATTTATTACTGTAGTGCCAGTTCTTTAAGTTATGTGTCAACATAATGTGAAAAAGAAAATAAGAGGACTGACTCCTTGACCATGTTCATAACTGGATAAACCGGCATCCCTCCCTGGCCTATTTCTTTCATGGTTCAGATTTTGCAGAGCTAATATAACCATCATTTCAAAGAAGGAAAAAAAAAGTGTCTGCTACCATCTATCTAATTTGGTTAGGTCATTTTTGTTTACTTTTAGGGAAGAAAACTTTCATGCAAAAAAAAAAACTTCAGAAGATGGAGTAAAAAAGCTGACAGGAGTGGTCACAGTGGCAAATGGGAAACACACTTACCAAATTAATGAGCACCTCGAGTTTTAAATCATCTTCACTAGTCTTTTTGTCCTGAGAATGATTTTTTTTCATATTTCTTTCCTAGAAATTGAATGAACACTTTATTGTTTGGGGACAGTGATTGTCATGTTTCTTCTGTTTCCCCACCATCATATGTTGGACACATGACAAATGATTTTCAGCAGAGGAAAATATGGATTTGTCCACTGTTTCATTAATTGTATGAAAAAATCTAGGTCAGTAAATAAAATTTGTACAAAAATAAGTATAGGTTCTTTAGTAAAATCCCTTGGCTCCATGCTCCATTAAATTATTTTATATGTTAAAACACCCATCCAACTTTTACCATCTTAAGCTTGAGAAGATTCAGACTAACATGGAATTCCATTCTCTCCCATCAGCAAAGCCTGACAGAATCACACAGCTGCTAGCCAGATCGATAGCCTGAGGGGATCATACTCATCCTTTGATTATAGCCCTCAATCTCAACTCTGACTGGTCCCTACTTACCAGCTAAGGGCAAATTTGTCTCCTTACTTTTAAGACTCAGGAAGGGAAAATCTCAGGAAACTTGATAAAGTCTTATTTCTTTTATCTTCTTTTTTTAATTGATAAATTTAATTTTGATAAAAATTTAATAACTTAAATTTAAATAAAATTTAATAAAAACAAAGACCCCAACTACTGGAATAAGAACTTATTTGACTAAAACTGCTGGGAAAATTGGACAGCAGTATAGAAATTACATTTTATCAAACAACTCATACTTGAATACAAAGATATGCTCCAAATCTATAGGTGACCTAGATATAAAAGGTCACATCATAAATGAATGAGACAAACAAGAAAAAAGTTAACCTGTCAGATCTATGGATAAGAGAAGTTTATGACCAAACAAAGAACAAAGAGGATTATGGTAGATCTCATTTCCAAGACATACAATGCGTCCTCTTTTATCTTCTAATGAAAATAGTTTGTTATATCCAATGCAATTACCTGTATCCCTCCTGTCTCTTCATAGAATCATGTCAAGTATATTGTTTTCTTTAACTTCCCTTGATTTGTTGTTGTTATTTTTGGTGGTGGATGGTGGGTGGAATTGCACATAGTGGAATTGTACCTGAAATCTTTGCCAAAAAAAGTGCCTCTCATTTCTTATAGCTGGCTAATCTATCCAGACTTGGCATTTCCCAGCCATCCTCAGCTAAGCCACACAGTTTAAAACTGTGGTCTGGGGATTCAATTATTTCATTTGCCGTCCCTACTTGGTGCTGCCCTATATGATTGTTTCTCACGGGTAATAATGATGGCCAGGACAGAGAGATTTGGTCTGGATTAGACAAAAATGTCCCTACAGACCTACCATCTCAACAGAACTTCTTCCTTACTCAATTTTCCACAACAATGAACATGGATTCAATTGCTCATGGCACAGTCAGAGTAACTTCTAATAACCCTAATAAGTAAAACATATGCCAAAGTTTAGACTCAGAATCCAAAATTTAGAACTTGAATGAATCTCAAGAGGCTGTCTAGGCCCATCTCCTTAATATACAGATGAAGAACTGAGGTCCAGATGAAAGAACTTGCCCAAGGACACACAGGTAGGAACTAGAAGATCTGGAAATCAAATCCAGGTCATCTGACTCTATATTCTTCTCTCTTCCCACTATAAGGGCTTAAAGCTACCATATGAAACATAACCTCACCTGGTCTGGGCAAAAGGTTAACCACACCTATACTGATACATCCCTGTGGCTCTGATAGATTTAGAAGCTCTAGAAGAACAATGTAATGGTGTCTAGTATTTGTCATCCTATTGTATAGGGTGACCTAAATTTTTTTTCTGTATAAATTCTCTCTATATATAGGCTGGCCCTCACCTCAAGCATCATGCCTAAGTAAGCAAACAAAGGAACCAACGAATGAATGAATAAATACACTATAACATTAATTAGCATGACTATGCTTTGTTTCATTTCTGGTTGACCAGTTGCATTTTTTGGTGTATCTGTCTTTGTTTCTGTGATGTTGGTCTGAGGTTGAGACTGCTTCTGGGAAGTCAGACTTCTTCATTTACACAAGACATTTAAGTTGATACAGTCTGGAGGTTGTGTTAAACTTGGAATGCCAACTAAACATGACACTAGATTTTTGCTATTACTGAACACAGTAGAAGTAACACTGGCAGTGAAATGAGCCCATTTAGAAGAAAAACATGAAAGGTTTGCATGAGTTTGGCTCGGCCGCCTTCAGTCGTGTTTGGCCATCGTGGGGTTTCTGTAAACAAACTTTCCAACCTCCATGGAAATGATAAGGTAGAAGATATCTTCCAGCTATCCAGGCATGTCTCACAGTTTTTGGCGATATGTCTGTTATTGTTGCTAGTATTAGGGGGACAGTCACACTCCTGCTCCATGGTATGTGACAGAAAGATTTTTCTGATTAGTGGCTCAGTGGAAACTATTGCCCTTATTTAGGTGCAATGTGTGGTGTACACATGACCAGTATCCAGGGGTAACTGTCAGAATGAGAGTCACTGTTTTGACAATTATCCTCTGGTTAGGCAGATGAATCCTTTCCACTTCACTCCTTTAGTTTTAGAACATTTCCTGACACTCCCAGAAAGGTCTTTAAAACACTTATCTCAGCAGGATATATATGTTCCCACTGCTGTTAAGAACAGTAGTTTTTACAAAGTGGTGGCAGACCTAAATGTATATTTTTAAAAAATCACTTGGCAAATGCTTCCCATTTTCTTCTGTACACCCCCTTGGAATATCAGAGGAAAACCAACAGCTAGCTGCCAAAGCTCTTCTTGGTCAATAGGCTGTGGTGCTGCCTGGTTTTGTCCAAAAGGCTCCTGAGATCCCATGAATCAGAGATATAAAGTCATGGGCAAACAAATGAAAACCTACCATATGTTTGACTAATTTGGTAAAAGGTCAAAAGAAATCCTCAGCATTAGGGAGTTTAATACGCCTTTGGCTGTCACAGGCACATTAAGGTAGCCGAACACCAGGAAATCCTGCTTTTTAACAATATAGCATTTTTTGAGCTCCAAACCTTTGTTTTAGAGCATCAGTGGGTGATTATGATGGAATAAATCTCCTTGGAGTGTTCAAAGGCATAGCCCGCTGCTGCTCGAAACAACACTGGTTTACGACTTCAGAGGACTAATTGTAAGGCATTCTTCTGTCCTTTATGTGTTATATGAAAAGAATGAGGGCCAAAGTACTGACATATTTTGCTTACCTGTATTTCTTTGTCACAAGGAAGAGTTTTATTGAGGGAATCCTCCGGGAGTGATATTATATTAAGAAAGAGTAGTCAACACCATTGTTTAAATTTGTTGTTGTTTGTTTTTGTTTTGTTTTTGGTGAGGCAATTGGAGTTAAGTGACTTGCCCAGGGTCACACAGCTAGAAAGTGTCAAGTATCTGGTCTGAGACCGGATTTGAGCTCAGGTCCTCTTGACTCTAGGGCCGGTGCTCTAACTACTGTACCACTTAGCTGCCTCTAGTCAACATAATTTTTAAAAGAAAACATTGATTACCATCACTTCACTTGAGATTTGGTTTGGAGGAGAAAATGGCTAATAATAATAATAGTAGTAGCTAACATTTATAAGGTATTTATTATGTTCTGGGCACTGTGTTAACCACTTCATAATTATTATTTCATTGATCCTCACAACCACCCTGGGAGGTTGGTACTATTCTCATCCCCATTTTACTGATGAGGCAAATAGAGGTTAAGTGACTTGCCCAGAGTGTCATACCTCGTAATCGAGGTTGGATTTGAATTCAAGTCTTCCTGACTCCAGGTCTGGAGCTCTATCCACTGTGCCCCTTTGCTGCTAATGTCAACTTGGAGGGAGCCTTCCAGTGGAGGGCCCCAGACATCTGTGCTGAGGGCGGCCCTTTGGAAAAGGGAATAGACTTGTGCTGTTTGATCCCAGTGGGCATAACTAGGAATAATGGCAGAGGTGTGTGAGAGCCAGCTCATAAGAGCGAGAATATTGTTAAATTCTCAGTGTGAGTACTTATACTTCAGAAAGCAGCAGACATCACAAAGCAAGGCTTCACTGATTGATTTTTTGATTGTCTAGACTTAAGAAAGTATCAGAGAAAATGTTAATAAACATAAAAGTGTATTGTGTGTATTTTTTTTTCTGAAGAGCTCGTTGTTGAATGTTTACCAGTATATCCTTGTGAAATGAGTAGAAGTTACAGAGATAGATATAGGTTTGATGCAAAAAAAAAATCTCCCTAACAGTCAGAGCTATCATCAGAAGTCTTTAAGCAAAGGCTTGTCAGATATACTTTAAAGGGGATTCTTTACCAGGTATGGGTTGGACAATAAGTCCTATGAGATAGATCCTTTCCACCTCTGATAGTCTGTGTTTCTGTAAGCCCAAGGGTAAAAATATCTTCTTATAGTGGTTACCCAGAGGCTTAGGTCATTAATTAAAGGAGGTCACAAATTTCATCTGCAAAAATATAAGCCTTTCCAAATAACAAGGTATTATAAGTTTGGTTTTTTTTTTTAAAGACATTTCCCCTCTAAGCCTTGTAAAAAGCTTTGACTACTAGTAGCACCTAGTAGTTGACATGCAACAATTAAATTTTTACTGAAAATACAGAGAGAATGAATACCACTTGACACTACTGTTAAGTTGATTAATTCTTTTTCTTCTGGGAATTTAACTGCAGAACCTTTTAAAAAATTTATTAGCGGTAAGGGAATAAGCATTTATATACTGCCCACTAGGTGCCAAGAAATGTGCTAACTGCTTTTTACAAATATTATCTCGTTTGACCCTAAAAAGGGAAGAATGGATACAAATACACCCAGTTGGGTATAGAAATCTATCTACAGGAGGGGAAGGGAATAAGAGATATGGAGTAGGAAGGGGGGTGAGGGGGAATGGTAAAAGGGGATTAGGGGAGGTGGTGGTCAGAAGCAAAACAGACTTTTGAGGAGGGACAGGCGAGAGAGAGAGAGAGAGAGAGAGAGAGAGAGAGACAGAGAGAGAGAGAGACAGAGACAGAGAGACAGAGAGAGAGACAGAGAGAAAAAGAGAAGTAAACAGAAGAAAATTGGATGGAAGGAAATAAACAGTAATCATAACAGTGATTGTGAATTGGATAAGCTAACCCATAAAACAAAAGCATGTAGGAGGATGGATTAGAAACTACACTCCAACCATATATTGTGTATAAGAGACACCCTTGAAACAGAAAGACACAGACAGCTAAAAAATAAGGGGCTGGAGCAGAATCTGCTATGCTTTAGCTGAAGTGAAAAAAGGCAGGGGGAGCAAGCCTGATAGTGGAGCAGTGGATACAGGGCCAGGTCTGAGGTCGGAAGACTCATCTTCTTGAGTTCATATCTGGCCTCACTTACTAGCTGTGTGACCCTGAGCATGTCACTTAATCCATTTGCTTCAGTTCCTCATCTGCAAAATTATCTGGAGCAGGAAATGACAAACCACTCTAGGAATTGTCCAAGAAAACCCCAAAGGAGGTCACAAAGAGTCACATACAACTGAATAACAACAACAATAACAACAACAAAGCAATCATGATCTCAGACAAAGCAAAAGCAAAACCAGACCTAAGTAAAAGAGATCATCAAGGAAACACGTTTTGCTAAAAGGTACCATAGACAATCAAGTAATATCAATAAATTTTACAGCAAGTTTTTCTTTTCTAGAGGAAACATATTTTCAAATATGTGGGGAACTGAATCAAATTTATAAAAATAAGAACAATCCCCAATTAGTAAATGGTTAAAGGATATGAACAGGCAGTTTTCAGAAGAAAGCAAAGCTGTGTATAGTCATATGAAAAAATGGTCTATATCACTATTGATTAGATTAAGGCAAATTAAAACAACTTTGAGGAACCACCTCACACATATCAGAGATGACAAATGCTGGAGGGGATGGGAGAAAATAAGTACATTAATGAATTGTTGGTGAAGTAGTGAACTCGTCCAACCATTCTGGAAAACGATCTGGTACTATTCCCGTCGGCTATGAAACGATGATCAATACCACTACTAGGTCTGTACTCCTATGTATATGTATATAAAAAAAGGAAAAGCATCTTTATGTACAAAAATATTTTTGAGGTGGCAAAAGCATGGAAATTGAAGGGATATTCATCAATTGGGGAATGACTGAACAAGATGTGGCATATAATTATGATGGAGTACTATTGTGCTGTAAGAAATGATGAGTGGAGGTGGTTTCAGAAAAACACAGCAAGAATTATATGAACTGATGCCAAGTGAAGACCACTGTGTGTAGGAATAGCAATGTTGTCATGAGGGTCAACTGTGAAAGACTTGGCCACTCTGATCAATACAATGATCCAAGACATCTCCAAAGGACTCATGATGAAAAAATGATATTCACACTTCTAGAAAGAGATCTTACCAACTCTGAAAACAAATTGAAATATGGTTTTCTCTCTTTCATTTTTTTATGATATGGCTAATATGGAAATATATTTTGCATGATTTCATATGTATAATTAATATAATATTATTTGCCTTCTCTATGGGTAGGTAGGGGAGTGGTGGCAGGCAGAGAGAGAGAAAATCTGAAACTCAAAATTTAAAAAGAAAAGAATGTTAAAACTAAATAAATAACGAACTGGGGGTGGAACGAATGGATGGTAGATTTTTGGATGGCAGATTTCTGGTGGGATGAATACTGTTCATAACTTATGACAGCTCAAGCACATTTCACTTCTTTAGAATCTCCCAGTTAGAGAATGTGATTTGAGCTCTTAGGAGAAATGGCATTTCTGAAAACATGCCAAGTGTTATCATGGTCACTGGGCAGCAGCAGGATGTAGTAGGATCATAGGTCTAGAGCTGGAAGGGACCTCAGAGGCCAGGCAGGCCCTTGTTTATTAGACGGGGAAACTTAGTCCGAATGTCAGAAGGCCTCCATTCTAGTTTTGTAATCGTACTTGCTATGCCACGTAATCTGTTAGTCTCAGTTTCCTAATATTTCATCCTGGAATAGTAATACTTGCAATACTTATTTCATAGGTTTGTCCTGAACAAATCACTTTGTAAATCTCTAAGCACAATTACACATAGAAAGTAGAGTCAACAACATCATCCAGGAAATGCATGATTAGAATAGGAGGCGGGCTGGTTATGTAGGGGTGACAAATGGGCACACCCAGGGTTGTTGGCACAGACAGAATATTCAAAGACTTAGAGGAAGGTCCCTAGCAGCTTGGGTAGACACTCTACTCCGCTCCAACTGTGGAGGATTTATGGGAGGACACTGAGAATTTATAGGAGACAAGAATCTCACCGGATAAAAAGTACAGATGGTTTGTAATATGCGCCCTTGGAGAAAAATCCCACATCAATGAGATCACAAATCCACCAAAGTAATGAAGTATGAATTAATTATCTATGAGTGCCTTCCTTTACAGAGAAAAGCATGGGAATTACATCCTCCTCCAGTGTCTGTCTCTTCAGAACAGACCTGCAGTTGAAAGGACAGAAACAGCTTTACCTTTGTTAATAAACTGAGAGTTGTTGTATCACATTTTGTCGAGATAAAATTTCCATCAAATTCTTTGTTCTTTTTGCTAGATTTCTTCAGCAGAAAATATGACAGATATTCTAGTGGATTTTCCTGGGGGGAGAAAACACCCAGAAAGAAATCCTTGTTTAAAACATTCATCATCCAGAATTCTTTGTTACATATAAAAAATACAAGGCAAGGGAAGACTTTTTTTCTTGGCTTTTTGTGTAGTGCAATAAAATATCTTTAGAAAACAATGATAGTAAAGGTTGTTATTCAGCTAGGTCAGGAAATAGTGTGTTCCCTTTAATAGAAGTACCAGCTATATCATTGTTTTCTAAGTTCAGGTCATGACACAACTTAGGGTAACTTGGGGCCTATAGAAAAGTATCAAAGCATTTCCAGAAAAAGGACACACTTGTCGTTCTTTATGGGGGAGGCGGGGAAGAACAGGAAGGTTTTTCTAGGGAGGAGCCTCTGAAGGAAAGGCTGTGTCCAGGTCCAGCCCTTTTCCCACCAATTACATATACTTCATACAGGTATTCTTGCTCAGTCTCCAAGGAGAGTAGAGTTGGGGTGAAACAAGTGGCTTAGGACTCCCTATTTCGGTTTCCATTTATATGTTAACCTGCCTCAACGTGCTACAGTTGTCTAGTTTAGGATCATGGCAAGAACAGGCTGGAAGCCATGGAAATATGCCATTACCCAATTACCTATGGTTAAAGAATTCAAAGGCAATGAAGTGCACTTTACTTTAAAATTATTCTGAACATAATTTTCCTTGGTAGTACAGCAATGCCTCTGGGTCATTATTATGAACATAAATTATTGCCGTAGCAGCAAAGCCCAGAAGTGACAGTTAATAGGGTTCTAGTTGATAGAATGCTAGATAAGCTATTTATGGCTCTGTTTTGAAAGACTAATAAATCATTCCCAACTGCATTTTCACAGGTTCAGCACAATACGGCACCAAAAAAGCAATTTTGAGAGATTTCTATTAGTCTATCCAAGAAATCTGTCACCTATTTAAAAAATAAATTAGTATCCTATCCAAGCTCTAGCTGAAATCGAAGCAGATAAGAGTTAAGTAAATAACAAGGAAAAAGTTAAAATAACCCATGGACTTGTAGAGTTAAATTACTATTATGGAAAGGAAGTGTTTGAGAATTCATTTTTGTTTGGGTTTTGGACCTCTAATTCATCGTTATCTGAACTTCTTACACTTATAGCCCTGGTTGCTTCATTGTAACTAGTAGTCTTAGAGAGTTGTTTGGGGCACTGAGGAATTGCCAGGTGCCCGGGGTACCCAGTTTAGCATGTCATCAGTATGACTTGAAGCTGAGTCTGCAGGATCCACAGGCAAACTCCTATTGATTATGTCATACTGCCTCTATAGGAACTATTTCCTGAAAAATCTAAGGGAACTAAATATAGCATGGAAACATGAATACCTTCCCTCTTCTCCACTCATTCTCTTTACTAACTCAAAATTTAGAGCCTACCACTTCATTTGCCTCTCAGCCTTTTTATTTTCTTTGATGTTTCCTGAAATTTGGACTCCCCTTGACACTTCTGACATTCAAATAGGCCTCACTACAAGACACTTCTTTCTATACTGCATCTGATGGGATTTAAAACATTCTCTTCCTTCCTAACACTCAACACCTACTTACTTAGTTCCTTTCTTTTTGTTTTGCTTTCCTTTTCCAGTTACCAGAGCCTTAGCTTTCCTTCCCCCTAAACTCTTTTCTCTTTATGTTTCTTTTCTTCTCTAGTTTCAATCATTACTCAGTTTCTCCTATATTCTCTTTATTCTCCAATAAAGGCTGCAAAGCTACTGCATTTACCTCTCTTCTAAAAAAAATAAAAGGCACTTCTGATTAGAATCAAGGGCAAGACAGAAAAAAGTTCATTATATCAATGATTATGCTACTTAAGGAATTTAGGATAAGCTTACTTGTAGGGAAGGATTCAAAACTTTTTAGTCATTGCCCTCACAAGATGACAAAACATCTCAGAGGATGACAAAGCCATATTTTATTTTAAGGGTAATCAGTGAAGGTCCAGACATGTTGATTGAATCAATCAATCAAAAGAAAACTAGGTGTGAATAAGTCCTTAATCATTTTGAAAAAATCATTGAGTCTTTGGACCATTGGAGGAAAGGAAACCTCTTTTGATTGGTCAAGAGAATCAGTCACACACTTTGGGTTATGTGTAAAAACAGCAAGCAAGTTCAGGGCTAGTGAATTTCCCTCCTCTCCTTCCTCTCTAGTGACTACATGATGACCTTCTGAACTTTGAAAAATCGGAACGGCTGGAGTTCCCATCTTCTCCAGGAGCCCTTTTCCTGAAGTAATAGTGGATGACAACAGTGTCTGAATTCATAGGTGGGAGACCCAGTAAACACACTGAGGAAAGGCAGCTTCAGGGAGTGTCTTGGCGTAGAGAAAATATGAGTCTCCAGAAAGGCACTAATCCTGGGATCCCAGCCAGATCCTAAGAAAGTTCTCTGCAAAGCAAGAAAAGGACTCCTGGTGATCAGAAGTTGTAAGCTACCCCCTTGCCACATGTGTCTATCTTGGTACTACTACTAACCCTCCTCTCCCCAGGGATCTTCTGTGTGTGTGTGTGTGTGTGTGTGTGTGTGTGTGTGTGTGTGTGCGCGTGCAAGGAAAGACTGTGCCCTCGGCGTGGGGGTATTGTTTTTGTAACAACTGTGCTTGCTATACCTGCTAAGCAAGGTACACCTTTCTAAAAGTTAGTTGAAGCTAACTGATTACCTTTTGGAAGCATGCAAGTTGGGGCTCAGAATCAGGATTAAGCATTTAGGGTTCAGGGGCTCATGAATGACAATCTGAGAAAACTCCCATCCCCCTAAAACCCTGAAGGGGGAAGTAGTCATCTGCTTCCTGGGAACCCAGCTCACCAGTGTCAGTGGGAATAAGGGAAGTGACCTCAAAGGGATGCTACAGTAACAACCATTTTTAAAAAGCTTGGTTCAAACATTTTTCAGTTAGTGTTTTTGTTTCCATTTGATTGTAGATGTTCATTTTCTTCCAATAAGCACTTAACTGATTTCTCCTTTGACAGCTCAATCAATCCGTCAGCTAGGACCTGAGCTGTTTCTTGATTGGCCAGAACATTAGCAAGGCTCAGAGAATCAAACATAAACCGCCCTGCAAGGTAAAAGATCATAAACCACATTAGCTACTTAAATGGCGTAACTGGATTTTAAGGCATAGTGGATAGAGCTCTGGGGCTTCAGATATTTACTAGCTGTGTGACTCTCAGCAAGTCACTTAACCCTGTTTACCTCAGTTCTTCATCTGAGCCAGAGAAGGAAATGGCAAACCACTTCAGAATCTTTGCCAAGAAAAACTCAAATGGGGTCGCCAAGAGTTGGAAACGGCTGAACAACCCACAACCACAACAACCAGCAGCAACCAATGGCAACCAATAACCACAAGCCGATTTTTGGTGAAGGTCCCTGTGCACCTACAGGAATGGATCTTAAAAAAAAAAAACTGGTTAAATGAAACATGTGCAAAAGGAGGCAGGCGACTAACTGTAACTTGAGAGCTCTCGTTTTCATGGAGAGAAAGAACGCACAAAAACCAAGATACATAGACACAAATACTATTATGCATCACATTACAGAACCAAAAGAAAAATGAGGACAACCAACTCTGGCAATATATCAAAAATACCCATTCTCAACAAGTCAATACAAAATGAAACGTGTAAGGTTTTGGAGGAGAAAGAAGGGGAAGGAAAAGCAGGTACAGGAAAACAAATCAGTAACCTACATTTTGATTCTGAGACATGGCCAAAACCCTTCTATTTTTCCCTACATATTTGTGCATAAGAAACATTTTAAAAAATCAAATAAAATGTCATAGACATCCTTGTTTTTTAAAAAGAAAAATAATGTCCTTAATAACTACATGTTGCTTTGCTTTAAAAAGCAAAGCATATGTATGTAGTTTTATATATGTAAATGTTATGTATCTATGCATACATACAAATGGTTTACTATATTTAATGAACTGAATTTAATTTCCAGAACTATTCCCACTACTTCTCATTTTCAGAGTATGAACAGCATTTTCTCTTCCTGGTATGAGACGTTATTTCTGTTAAAAAGTTTCACTTCCAACTCTTCTCTGGTATTCTAGATGCGAGACAGACCACAATACAATGTCACATCTATTTTGTACCATCATTTTCATTTAAAAAAAATTATTGAATACCTATTTGTAAAGCAGCGCTGTGGACAGAGAGGAAGTGGGATATGCCCCTGCCTTTGAACAATTTAAAATCAATAGGAAGGGAGGAGCCAGGATGTAAAACACTTATTGGAAAGATAAGTTAAGGACATACACACACATAAATCTGTCACAATGCTTGTACACATTTTCTAAGTAGACAAGTGGAGTGTAAAGTACACAGTAGAAAGGAGTTGAGGAAGGGAAGAGCAAAGGAAAACTGGAACTTTGAGGAGCTCAGTTTAAGCTACTTTGGAGAAGTCAGGGAAAGGGTTGCCTTGAAGAGAGAGTCAATGATGAAAAAGTTGTTGTTTAGGTGAAAGAAAAAGCTTGGGGTGCCCCAGATGAAGTTCAAAGTGGAGAAAGAAAATAAGATTCAAAATAGAACCAGTGAAGCTTGTAAATATTCGTTTTTTCTGAGAGGTTTTATCCATAAAAATTAATCATGGGACTACACTGGAGGATGAATTCAGTGAAGTAAGATAATGCCAGATGGTGCTGGACCTCAAAGTCCACAATTGGAGAGTGAATTAAAATAACTTCATCAGGGGTTGGTATGATCTGAATGGTGCTTGGTCAAAATGATTTGTGCAGAAATAGCATATAGGACAAACATGGTGGGAGGACAAAAGAAAAGTGATTAAGGGATAAGAGTTGTGATGGTAGAAATGGAGCCTGATCAAATACAGGGCTCTTGGACCATAAGGTGGATTGATGAGAGATGAATCATTGCTTTTCTAGGAAGCAAAAGGACAGATTCAGGGAAGATGTGGTTAAGCTTGTAATAGCTCCTGCCATCACAGCTGAAGGGTTTCCTTGAGCAGTCCTTAAAAAGGAACTTCAGTCCTGGAGGCTTAAGTTTCTACTTGGCTCAGGTTTTAATTGTTCTTTTATATTCTTACCCTTGTCCTACTCACATCTGGGTCTCATATTTATGAAATAGAAAGAAATCTTTAGTCGTCAGAGTGGTTCTTAATGGGGTGTGTATGTGATAGAGGCCTATCCTCAGAACAATGTTTTTAAGTGTATAAATTAAAATATAAAGGAAAACAATTATATTGATATAAGTTACTAAAATTAAACACAAAGTTCATGAACCTAGGGCAGGTAGGTGGCGCAGTAGATAGAGCACTGGCCCTACAGTTAGGAGGACCTGAGTTCAAATTGGGCTTCAGACACAAAACACTTACTAACTGTGTGACTCTGGGTAAGTCACTTAACCCGAACTGCCTTGCCAACCCCCACCCGACTCCTCCCCTCAAAAAAGTTCATGGACCACATGTTAAGAATCCTTGGCCCATGACATCCTGATTGCAATTGACTCGTGTAAAAGAGAGGGGGAAATTAATTTCAGGAATCTATTTACTAGTCAATAATTTTGGCTAGATGGGAACTCTCCAAGATAAAAAGTCAGGATTCAAAAGAGGCAGTAACAGATAAAATATGGAAGGGCAGAGCAGGAAAAGTAGAGGGTACAACTATGCTAGAGACTTTGCTGCACCCAGAAGCAAGCAGTTTTCCTTAACTGTAATTTTGGTCAAAATATTTCCTTACTAAGTAACCTGAAGAGGTTGTCAATTCTCTTTCTGTCAAATCTCTACCATCTGCATCAAAGCTGTTCTCTTAAGTTCTCCACTGTATTGCTTTTCAGATGAGAATCCATTGTTTCACCAGGTTCCTTATACTAGGCCTCAGAGGCCTTTAGTTTTCTATATCTTCCACAGTGAATTCCTCCCTTTTTAGAAGTATGGGGGAAGGTAAGCAAACTGATCCTGAAGCTGGAGACTTGGATTTCAGATCTGTTACTAAGTCATTGTTAGATATCAAATGACTTATATAATAATAATACTAATAACAACATTTATATAATGCTCACTGTGTCAGGCACTGTGCTAAGGGCCTTACAAACATTTTCTCATTTGATCCTCATAACAACCCTGGGGGATAGATGCTATTATTATCCCTATTTTACAGTTGAGGAAACTGAGGCAGACAGAGATTAAGTGACTTTCCCTGGGTCACACAGCTAGTACAGGCCTGAGGCTGAATTTGAACTCAGGTCTTCCTGACTCCAGGCTCAGTGCTCTGTGCACTACAGTACCACCTAGGTGCTGTGTTTCAGAATCATAGAATCTCAAAATTGAAGAAGGACTTCAGAGCTTATCAATTTCCTTATCTGCAAAATGAGGAGGTTAGACTAGATGATGTCTAAGCTCTAAAATTTTCTCTTTATACTCTGATATGACTCTGCTTAAAACCCACCCTCCCCATTAATATCCATAAATTCTTTTGTTTCCAATTTTTTAACATTTTATTTAAAGTTCTGAGTTCCAAATTCTATCCCTTCTTCCCTTGCCTGACCCCTCCCTGAGACAGTAAGCAATCAGAATATCTATAATTCAAAATTATACCTACCTTGATCACTCAGCATTTATGAATTAGCAATTTATGAATATTATGAAGATAGAGCACACTATTAATAAAGTTCTATCCCATTCTTTTAGTTTTATAATTTTCACATGGTCTCACCTGTTCTTCTTCTGTGTCTTTCATGTTCATTTGTTATGTTTGCCCTTTTAGAACACACATTCTAGGAGTGCAGGGTCCCTATCTATTTTCTTTAAATCTCCATACAGTGCCTAGCATACAGCAATGTTCTCCATTCCTAGAGGATACTCTACCGCACATCATTGTCCCATTGAGTTACAAAATGAGGGATCACGTTATGGCAGAATTTCAGAGCAGATACTAGCTTCACTATTACAGAAAACACACAAGATCTCAACACATATTACCTGAGAATATCTGTAAGGGAGATAAAAGATATAAGGGATTAGGTGACACTAAGGAGGCTGAAGAATTCATTTTTACTTAAGATTCTTTCTAATCTGATCTACTTCATTTACAAAATACTTTTCTTGCTTTCTTATTTAAAAAAAAATCATCCTACTCACATAACAACATATTTTGTAGCAAATCTGCAACAAAAGCAGGGAGAAACCTTACCAAGAATCTTGCCGCTGATGTTCTTCTGCAGCTCCTCAAAATGAGGCTTCAGCTGTTTCCGGACTGATTTCAGGGTCTCTTCCAGGAATTCCGTGAAGCTGTGCCATGTCTGGAGCTTGTGGTCACAGAAGTAAATGGAAGGTGGGGAAGTTCCTTGCTTCTGTCCCAGCCAATCACTAAGAACTGACATTATTTTCTCCTCTTATTTTCAATGACATGGAGTACAGAAGGGACAATTCAATCTCTTGTTAAAGGACAGACAAACACAGTTTATACTGATGTCTGCTTTATGAGCGAAATGACAGAAAGACCGACTGGCTGATATTCAAGGGTGAAATCAGAGATGTCCTACATGCCTATCTGTTCTCTTCATCAGGGTCACATTCAGAGACCTTAAAGGTCACCTAACTCAGTCCCCTATTTTACAGATGAGGGACGAGGCCCAGAGAGGTCCAGAGTGGCCGATGAACAGCTATGCCTGCGGAGCCATCCAAAGGAACAGAGAATGGGGAGGGGGCTTGTAATACTCTGCTCCAGTGCCCTTGACCAGAGATGACCTCCTAGCTAACTTTTCTGGTCTAGATGGCAGCTTCCCTCTTCCAAATGCAGAAAGTCTTGTGAGAGGGCAACCATTGTCCTTGCCCTGAATGTAATATGGCTTTGGAGGCTCCCAGACAAAAGGTGGGGATAGGTAAGGGGGGCAGGGTGATTTTAGGGATGGAGATTTTTGCTGACAAATGTATCCAACAGTTCATTCAGTACAGACAAGAGACTGAAACTCTTTATTGTTGTTGTTGGGCAATGGGGTTAAGTGACTTGCCCAGGGTCACACAGCTAGTAAGTATTATGTGTCTGAGGCCGGATTTGAACTCAGGTCTTCCAGACTTCAGGGCCAGTGCTCTATCCACTGCGCCACCTAGCTTCCCCCTATACTGAAACTCTTTCCACCGGACCACGATACCTCACACTTTGACATAAAGCAACAGGATTAAAAAATTATATTCTTATCAGGAGATTTAGTCATAGTCAATTGGGCATCTAGATATGGATTCTCTTGGTCCTATAATTCAATATGAGAATATGGCACATTTCTTTTTGGCTTGGTCTTTGATTTATCTTGAATCATATCTGTTATAGTACAAGCATAAACGTTACCTTATACTTTCTTACGTTGCTGGTAATTCATACAACGCTTTAAGTTTTGCTGAGCACTTCGCATATATGATCTCATTTGAGCCTCACAATAATTCTGGCATTATCTCATTTAACTGATGAGGAAATTTGGGCTAGGAAAGGTTAACTTGCCCAGGGTCACATGGGCTGTACATAACTGAGGCAGAATTTGAACTAACCCCCTAACCCCAAGTCCGGCCAACACTTTGAATAGTGTTCCTTGATAATGATGAATGTTCTGGAAAGACTTCATCTAGGATAATCAAATCAAACCAGTCAGACATTTCTTGATGTTAACATACAAAAAGGGCTTCATATTTGGTATGGCAGAGCAGTGCACCAGCTATAGGAAATACATGTGGAAAAATAAAATGACCCCCTCTTTTAAGAGGCTTGTATTCTTTTCTCTCTGGGGAGGGTGTGTGGGTATGCCTTATCTACCTTTTTATTGTTATTATTTTTAATTTTTTTAATTTTTTGTTTTTTTTGGTGAGGTAATCGGGGTTAAGTGACTTGCCCAGGGTCACATAGCTAGTAGGTGCCAAGTGTCTGAGGTCACATTTGAACTCATGTCTTTTTGACTCCAAGGCTGGAGCTCTATCCATTGTGCCACCTAGTTGCTCCCTTATCTACCTTTAAAAAAAAACAACAAACAATCCTGTGGCAGCTAGGTTGCATAGTAGATAGTGTACCAGCCCTGGAGTCAGATGGGGCCTGAGTTCAAATCTGACTTCAGATGCTTACTAGCTATGTTACTCCCCCCAAACCAACCCTGGTTGTTGTATTTATGCCCTGGTTTTTTGATATAATATTCTATCAGAGGAAGAAAATAATACTATCCATACTAGAAATCATAGTGTCCATGTAATGCTAATAGCAATGCCTTGAATTCTACTGATGTCTCATCAAACAGGGTTTAACCAGGGATAGTTTGATAAGATCGATATATTGAATTAAAATGACCTGTGATTTCAACATCAAACAAACTTAAGGCCCATTTATTTTTGGTTAAACCCAAATGGAAAAAGACAGCATGGTATAATGGATAGACCCGGTTTCAAATCCCACATCTAACACATACTGACTGTGTGACTTCAGGCCAGACACAACTCCTCAATGGACTCGGTAAGGCTTTGCAAGCCACACTGCTAGAGCTTGAGTCTTCCTGACTTCAAGAGCCTCCTGGCTGCATGAACCTTCTCCCAGTACAGAAAAGGGATAGTATTCCTTTAATGAAGGGCTAAATTAAAGTCATTTATATCAGCAGTAGCTAGTTGCCATTTAAGGTATACATCTGTTCTTTCTCTGTGACTGCTGTATTTTGAGATTTTTCCAAAGGGGGACTTGGGTGAGGTGGGTGAGGAATCAGTCCCTCATCCATACTTACTGTGTTGGTAGGATCCAGTTGCTATCCCTGTGGGGGAGCTAAACATTGTTCCAGTCAACTGAGACAGCTGGGAAAGGACTTCAGTGCCTGCCTCTGCAAAGTCAGAAGTACTTCTATTAGTTTACAGCCTCTGCCAGGGAACAATTAAATATTACTGAAAAAGTACAGCGAGATCAGGCCAAGTCCATTAATAGTTTTCTTTCTCAATCCAACTTAGGAAGCCGAGACCAAAAGCTTTCACAGAGTTATCCTTAAGGGCTGAACACAAACACTCCATTTCTGTTTCTGCTTTAGTAAGTCAAAATATGTTTTCCTCACTTTTTCCTCACTTTTTAAATTTTGGGAAATTGAAGTAGATTTATTTTCAGACTAGATATAGATATTAGACATTTAAAATGGCCTAATCTAAGTTGGATTTAGTGTCACAAAATCCAAACTGGTCAATTTAAGTCAGAAGCAAGCAGTAGGATTGAGTACAATCAGTGGTCACAGCTTACTATATGTTTCCTTCCCCAGGGTATAATTGTCTTTGAAATTGAGGTAATTACAATCACATAGCTTAAGACATTTAATTTTCACTCTTTCTATTACTGCTCTACTAATCAATGCTCTAAATGGTTGCATTTATTACACAGAACCAGCAGCTATGAAGGTGGACTCCCTCACTCCTTTCTTTAGTCTAAGTGTCCTTTTAGTCAGGCTCACAGCTTTCATCTCTTTGTTCTCAGGAAGAGAACATTTTTTTTCAATTCATAAGACTTTCTGTCAGTCCAGAAAATGATTTCTAAAAGTTAAATAAGTCTGATAAAATTCTATTGGTCAAGCAAAATATGGATAGACTACACCCACATTCACAAAAGTTATGTCAGGACTTTGTATTTCTTCTCTAATTACTCTGTGAGGAAAAAAAGTGCATCTAGTTGCAGCTAATAAAGTAAAGGCTTCCCCCAAGAAAACAAACAAAAACTGAATAGAATTAATAGACAGAATGTACTATGTTTATTTTAGGGCTGATGCTTAGCTTTCAGTACATCTGGCCTGAATTATTGTAAATATTCTACCTTTGTAGGTCATTGCTGATCTGCATTGAACAGCTTTCCCCTGCCCTTGGAGTATCTGAAAATATGTTATGTATCAGTAGATTCATTGTCCTTCCCACTCCCTTTCCCATTGGTTTCTATGCTAGAAAAGCTAATGATGTGCTTCACATACGGTAGAAGAAGATGCTGCTTCCAGTTCATGAGTCTCTTTGGACAAGGCTTTTGAGAAGACAAGATGTGCTTGAAGGAAGGGAGTGGAGAAAGGGAGAATTTTTCCCTACCTCAGCCTAATGGCCAGGCCAGATTCTTCTGGGACCCTAGTCTCCAAGTAAGTCATGGATTCAATTAGCCAAGTTTGTACCAAAGACCCCTGGTTGCTTTCTCCTCCTTTTATATTTCCTTTCCTCTATCACTGACCTTGTGAACATCAAAAGGTCCTGGAAGGCCTCCAAGTGCAAAAGGCAAGGACAGTGTTTACCAGGGCAGTTTCAATAAAGTAGCACTGGCAGGTTTGGGCTTCTGACAAGGAAAGTACTTGCATCATTGATCAGACCCCTGGGAAAATCAGCCCACTTGGTGTTTGACTGCATCATGCTAAGTGGAGGTGAAAGGTCAATTAGCTAATTAGCAATCTTGCAAAAAGTTTATACCCCAATAAGGCTTAAATATGAGCCTTCCAACCAATGTACCACCAGGGATAATTTACTGTACTGTGTTCTAATCATTCTATGGTTCTTTACTGCTTAGTATTCCCTTTTCTGTGTAGGAGTAAATTACCTGTTCCATCCGTTCTTCATTTTTCTCCATTGAATGTTTTTTTTTAATTTTCCCCCTTGGACTTCAAGCCCATTTTGGTTCAATCCAAGTCTAGGATATAGTCTCTATGGCAATACTGGTGAGAGTTCTGTGGGGGTGGGCAGGGAGGATTGTGTAAACTTCATAGAGAGAGGATAGGCAAAGTGCCACTTGGGCTTTTATCAACATCCTCTCCTACTTCACACCTCTGCTGGGGAAATTATATGATTCAGTGAGTAGAAGAAGGCAAATATACATGAGGCTTCTTTGTAGCCTACAAATTTTTGCTTTCTCTCAGTCATTACTAAGAACAATATTTTTCTATTTGGTCTCATCCCTCTCTACAATTCAAATAACTCAGCATTAGCTTTATAAGGAGGAAGAGAAAATGTTCAGTGAGTAATGACTTGACCTCATTCTAGAGTCTTTGTTCCAGGAAACCAATGGGAGTGAGGGAGGGGCATTCTCCATGCAGTGACTACCAACCTGGTCACCCATGATCCTCCACTGGCTCAAAGAGCTACACTCAGACTTTTGTTGCCATAACCTCCTCTTCAAGGGCTGGCCTCTTCTATCCCTGTTTCCCCTCAACAAATCTCTAGGATACCACAGTCTGACTCTCTGGGAGAAATGAGGACCTCCTTTTCCCAACACAACCACACGTGGTTGGACCATCTGTCTCTTTCTATCACTGTACTTTCACCCCTTACCATTGTTTCTTAGGTCACCTGTTTTTGCCCCAGGTGAAAGAAATTGCTAATTATGGCTCTGCCTAGTGCTAATTTCATAAATTATAATTGTAAAATGGGGCTGGGACTGCTGTATTCTAATTAAAGCTTGGCAAAGGCTGACCTGATGCTGCCAGAGGGACAAAGATATCAACATGACCGCCTTCTTCCTGAGTAGCCACACAACTTGCAAGTTTCTCCCAAAAGTCTCGCACCTCAGGGGTCAGCACATTTTCAACCCCAATTGTATAGCCTGATTAAAAAAAATACATTTAGGTATAATATCACAGCCAGGAGCTTTGTTTTTGCATTTTATTACATAGGAAAGAAACAACATTATCACATCACTGAAAGTCATTTTATGACTCTCACTCCACGGGAAATGCACCAAGCCAACTCCTGTGTCTAACATCATTGCCAAAATGTATGGGTCATATTAACAGATCAATCACTTATTCACTCAGCAAATATTCAATCAACATTTGTTAAGTGCCTACTCTGTACAAATTAGGGACGAGGGGAGCATGCAGAGGTTACATATACTAGTATCCTTTACCACATGGATATTTTAGTCTATTAGGAAGATAAGACACAAAGATAATGCCACTAAAAGAAACATCTATGGGATCATAGAACATGGACCATCAAGGGAAAGGCCAAGGAGAATATGCCCTGAGTGTTTACTGGCACTCCCAGCTCATTCCTTGTATCATGTAGTTCTATATGTTGTCTAACTATAAGTCATAATCTGGACAAAAGACATTCGCTTCTTTTTTTTTTTATTATAAGGAAGGCCAGGTCAAATTCTTTTGATTGGTTATCAAGGTCTTCCAGAAAGTCCTACAATATTCCAAGCTTTGATACAACCAGAATAATATCAAAGGGAATCCTTCTTCATCATAGACTTTGGGCAGGCTCTCCTCCAAGTCAGTGGAAAATACTTTTGTTATTTATGGTCTCATGACTCATTTGGTATTGATGATTGGAGGATGGTCAAACAAGGTTATTGCTATCATTATCTCTTTCAAGGAATTTTACATAATTTTGATATATGAAGGGAAATTATCTTGTTAGAAAGAGTGTATTTAAGGCAGCATTTTACTCCACCAAATGCTTTAAAAAATAATTAACAACAAAAAAAAGTACAGTGGAATCTTGTCTTCTCTAAATCTTTCATTCAATTATATGATAGTAAAAGTAGGGTCTACTGTGGAATATCCCTTGAGAAAGTCTGCCTGTCCTCTACTCTGTACTTGAATTAAGCATGCCCTTGGCATATGTATAGATGATTCTCACAAACATTTTGTATAGATGGAAAAGTAGATATATAAGATAGAATGTTTGGTTGGGTTACCTTTTTCACTTAATAAGGAGATTTTTTTCACCATGCCTTTGGTATCTTCTCTTCTTTCAGATACCTTTTCTGTTGCTCTCACAATAATGTTATCTCTTGCACATGTATACTTGTTATAATCCAGTCACTTTCCCCAACTTTATTCTCTCTAACAACATTTGTATCTCTTTTATAAGCACTTTGGGGAATGTGATGTTTAAATTCTAGTATCATAACAATTGTCCTTCATGCTTTGAAAAGTTTTATTTTTCATAAAGATCTTTACTAATCTTTACCATTTTTCTTCTATTTTTTTTCCTTCCTCTCATTTTCATATTTAAATGACCTTGGAGTGATTTTGGTTATCTAGAATCATGATTTTAGGCCTATCTTAGCTTATGCTTCTATAGAGTTTGTCATTACTTCAAAGGCCTATAGGTAGACTAGGTATGAGGAGATTTTGCTAATCTGAAGACATTATGGGTAGGAGAAATTTTCTTTCCCATGAGAAACTTTGCTATCTTTAGGTAGAATAATGGAAAGCACCTGTTCAACTGGTAATATTTGTTCTCTGAATGTTCTAATCATGACATGGTCATTGTGTCTTCTCACTATAACTTCATCAATCTCCTAACTTTGTACCACCCTTTTCCAGATAACTTTGTGCACCTTCATTTAAATTTTGTCATGTCCAAAGGTTATACAATTTCAGCCTTGCTCTAATTCAAGAAAGAGCTTTTTTTTTCATGGTGCGAAGATTTTGTGTATGAGCTTGAAATGCTTTCTCCCTTATAGCTTTAAATTATAAAGAATAATGCCTTTGTTAATCCAACATGGATTAACTGAATCAATTCTTCAATACTTTTTTGTATCTCCAATCAAGCTCTAATCAAGGTTTTACCTTCCACTGTTTCTCTTTTATTTATGAGAAAACATTACTCACAATCTGCTACCAATCTTCTCCATAAGATTTTTACCAATGAGTTCATATTCTAAGTCATTTTTGACCTTTGGGAGGCAGTCTGGTACAATGTAAAGAGCCCTGATTCTGAAGTCAGAGGACCTAGGTTGAAGTCTTATTCCTGATACTTGCCAACTGTGTTCTAGGGCAAGTCACTTAACCTTCCTTGGCCTCAGTTTCCTCATCTGTTAAATTAGTTAAAATTAGAAGGGAAATGGGTAACCAGGAAAAAAAAATCTTTGCAGAAAGTTTTTCTGATAAAGGTCTCATAACCAAGATATACTAGAAGTTGATGCAAACTTACAAAACTAAGAGCCATTCCCCAATAGATAAATAGAGAAAGATATATAAACAGGCAGTATTCAAAGACAGAAAAAATATAAGCTCTCAACAACCATATGAAAAAATGCTGTAATTGACTAAATAATTAGAGATATGCAAATTAAAGGAACTCACACCTATCAGACACAGAAAGATGATAAAAGAAAAAAAGTGACAGATATTGGAAGGGTCTCTGGGAAAACAGGTACACTGATGTACTCTGCTGGTGGAGCTTTGAATTGGTCCAGCCATTTTGGAAAGCTATGTAGAACTATGCCCCACAAAGTTACTAAATTGTAAATACTCTTTTATTCAGCTACACCATTATTAAAACTATACCTCCAAGGAGATGAAAGAAAGAAGAAAAGCGTATATAGGTAAAAACTACTTATAGCAGCTTTTTTCATAGTAGTTAAAATTGGAAACTAAGGGACTGTTCTATTGAGGAATGGCCAAATAAATTATGGTATATGAGTATAACAAATATTATTGTGCCATAAAAAATAATGAGATGGACAGTTACAGGCCAAACTGCAGAGGCCTCTATAAACTGATAAAGAGCAAAGTTAGCACAATTTGTACAATGTATTGTATAGAAACACAACTTTGAAATACTTTAGAACTCTGGTCAATGGAATGATAAACTAGAGGATTAAAGATAAAACCCATCACTTTCCTCCTGCCAGAGAGGTGATGAATTTAGAATGCAGAGACACATACATTTTCAGTAATGGTCAGTGTGGAATTTTCTTTTGTTGGACCATATATGGATATAATGCATTTTTAAAAGATAATCTTCCAGGTTCTTTCTACCCCCAGATCTATAAGCCTTTATCTCTTCACTTGGAGAATAAATAAAACATTTGCTGACTAAAAAACTGTTAGGCTCTTGTGGTCTCCTGGCAATAGTACAGTTGATTTGTCAGCTGAACTTCCTATAAAATTTTTATAATATGTTTCTATATATTTTTTCTATTCACATCCCATGTTCCACAATCAATAACTTGCTTGAATAGATCAAGATTAGTTTCTATTGCAAACTATATTTTTTTATTTTTATTCATTCTTTTTTATTTGTATTAATTTTGATCTTTGCTCTAAGAAGTTAGTGATCTAACTGCATACAAAGAGCTGATTCAGGAATGATTCTCCTCTCTTATCATTCCTGATGCCTATTCATTCTTTTCTTGAAGAACATATTCATGATATATAGGCATATTAAAGTATATACTGATTTAATTTGGAGGATCTTATTGAATTCTTTGTTGAGTTTCTCTGCCTCTGCATCTTATGTAGCAGATGTTGGTGCATAAACTGAAATTATTTTCATGGTAGCCTTTTTATAAATACTTATCACAAACATAGTAGTACAATACAACCAAATGTCCTATGAAATGAAGTTTTTTGTTGCCTTGGAGCTCCCAATAAAACCAACTTTTCCAGCTCCTCTATTTACCTTCTTCAAGAGTATAAATCATCCCTTCCTTTTAGTCACAACTTCATTCTTCTGGTTTTATTTAAAGTGAAAATGCCAAGACTAATGTAATTTATTTCCTCCAAACCTTCACTCATTGATCATTGGACAGGTATCTCCTATTTAAAATACCAATTGCTCTGTTAAAATTCATGATTTTTAGTACTTTCTGTTACTTTCTCCTATTCTGCCAATCTCACTGAAGAAGCAGAAGGGGATTATTTTGCCCTCTTGGGACTGAGGGCTACTTTGCATTTTTTTTATACAGGTAACTGTGATGTACATTATTACATGATAACTGTGCCATCATAGCACTACCAAAAATGCTATTGGAAATTATCATGACTCTTGCTGTTTCTGGACTACTTTCTCATTACATAGTGAAACACTGTATACTCAGGGTTCAGAAGGCCATGATTATTCATCAAATAATTATTTATTGAATACCTATTATGTGTGAAGCATTGTGCTATATACATCACGGAGGATACATGTAAGACAATATTATCCATCAAAGAGTTTATAGACACCTACACAAATAATTATAGTACTATGTAGACTAAAAATACAGTGAGTGCTACAAAGTGCTAAGTTAGTAAAAGGGTGGAGCCATTACTTCTAGAAGGTCAGAGAAGACTTTAGGAAGGAAATCGCATTTGAGCTAAATCACAAAGAATGTATAAAAATTAGATAGGTAGAATAAAGGTGGGGCAGAAGAGCATCTTAAGTAGAAAGAATAGAATGATCAAATGGATGTAGGTAGAAAAGTGAAAAGTATATTTGGGGAATAGCAAATTCCCAGACTAAAGAACAGTTTATCTTAAAAAAAAAAGACATTTATTAAGCATCTACTATGTGCCAGGCACTATGCTAAGTGCTTTACAAATATTCTCTCAATTGATATTCCCAACAACCCTGAGCTATATATGCTGTTATTACTACCATTTTACAGTTGAGGAAATTAAGGCAAAAAGAGGTTAATGACTTGCCCAGGGTAACAAAGCTAGAAAATGTCTAAGGACAGATTTGAACACAGATCTTTCTGATTCCAAGCCCAAAGTTCTATCCACTGCCCTAATAAAAAATAAGTTAGAAAATAAATTGGATTTTGATCATAATTCGAGCAAGAGGAATAGGACAATTAGGAGGGAGCACACTGCACTGTGCTGCCTTTTTAATGAAGCTTTAGAATTCTAGGATCAAGTTCCAGGCAAATATATGTGTCAATAAAGATAAATCAAAGAGAAGTAAAGAGTTCAAGACAAAAGCAAAACTTTTAGGACTTAATAAAGATGAATCAAGAACTTCTTTCCTCTCTCATTCTGAGAGCTCTGATGATTTCACTAAATCACATTCACTTGAGAAGCCTATTCCAATAAGAAAGAAAGAGGTGTGTTGCTTGGGTGCTGTAAAGGAATAAGAAGGTTTAAGTAAAAGAATGTGATGGTTTCACTCTTTAATAGCAATCATAGGTCCCAGGGAATGACAGTAGGTACTCAACAGAAACCAGTGTGGTGCCAATCAGCATAAGATCCTAGTACTAAGAATGAGATAACCTAACTACCCCAAGTGCTCTATGGCAGATGCATATAATGGAATATTTTTGTGCCATAAGAAATTATGAAAAAAGATGATTTCAGAAAATCCTAGGTAGTATAGATTGATGCAGAGTAAAGTAAGCAGAACCAGGAAAATAATTTATATAAAGACCATATACAACATTGTAAAGAAAAAAAACTTCAAAAGACTTCAGGACTAATCAAAGGTATGACCAACAATATTTCCAGAAGACTTATGATGAAACATGTTACCCACCTCTTTATGGAGTGATGATGGACAGAAGAGTTAGAAATGTACATTTTTGGACATGATGTCTATAGCAATCAGTTCCTTGACTATGCCTATTTGTTAAGAAGGGTTTGTTTTCTTTCTTTCTCTTCATTTTCAATTGAGTTTGGGGAGTTAGCAATTGTGGTGCAAAAAAAGAGGGCCATTGTAACATTTTAAAAAGTGCACAGAGAAGCAGGGCAGTTTTGAAAGTAATTTATTACATACCTTAGAAAATATCAAGTGATATGAAATGGAGATTATGGTTTCCTATAGAATCCTCTTTTTATGTTCTGTTATAAATGTCAAAATGCTCTTTTTTAGTGTTTAAGTTCAGAATAATTTTTTTAAAAAGAAAAAATATTTAAATTAATTGGCAAAGGATGTGAAGCATTATCTTATTGAAAGATAAGCAATATAGTACATAAAAGGAGTAGGAAAATGAGTTCTGTTTAATAAAAATTGCTAACATTTGTGCATAAGTAAACAGCTTTAAGATAGGTTGTGAACAGTTTAGTTGTAAAAGGTTAAAAAAAAGGAACTGTGGCATAAATATAAAAGCTCAAATCATCTAATGATGGTTGTAGAATGATGCCCTCTTTTGAATGAAAAGAATTTGATGACTTGAAGAGGCAGAGAGGTAGATTTTCTTTAGTAAAAGCTGCCAAAACTTTAATTATATAGAAACATAGTTGAAAGCACCAACTGTTAAAGTGAAGATCTTTGAAAACTTTAGAATGGCTAGAGCTGCTGGTCACTGTGGTTCCTAAGTTTATTTGCATTTAATAGTTTTAAGATTTAAGAGGACAAAACTCACAAAATGAAAAATCATATAATTGTTTGGAGACTGGAATGATCAAATAAGTATAGTTGATTTCACAATGGATATTTGGTAAGTTTTTATCTTATAAATGAAAGGTGAATCTCTGAGAATCAGGAGGCTCTGATTTAAGCCTGTGATGTGTGTTAAGAATAAGTGAAGAGGTTAAAGAAGTTTGAATGGAATGATCCAGAAAGGGCAAGAGTGGAGTCAACTTTGAGCTGTGTGAAGGAACTAGCAGCAATAAGAAACTTTCAGCTGTCAGGCCTGATTAGCTGAATAAAGCTTCAAACTCAGAAGAGAGCTTCAGTTTTAACTATTGCCCTTTACCTCTACTTACAGTTTGAGAGAGGTAAATCCTCTCAGAAGTGCCTTTTACTCTGCTGCTCTTGCCAATGTAAGAAGGAAAACCAGAAAAGCGAAAGAGGATTTGTAACAATTTTGCTGTATAGGAAGAGATGCTGAGATCTAATTGAACAACTCCGCATCCCAGTGAGGAAAAAGCTGGCTGGGCTTAACTGTATTGCTCAGAAATTCAATCTGAGTTGCTTTGTTATGAGTTCTGTTTACTATAAGGTAACCAGACAATGCAGAATTCTCATAAGTGAATATGTGGCTCAGATCGTCTGAATTGCCCAGAGAGAGGCAGTCTGATCATAGGTAGATCTCTAGATTAGAAAAACTGCTAACTAAAATAAAAGTTTCTCAGCATCCTTTTATGACAGTGAGAGTCAGAAGGAGAGTAGTTAACAGAGAAGCATTTTCATGTTGGTGCAAACATCCCCAGTGAATCAATGATCTCAAAACCTGTAGTTCAATTTGTAAGTAACCCTAAAAACAAACGTTTTCTTCCCTCATGTGCTTCCCTTCCAGGTTTCTGTGTTTACTTAGTCTTTCACACAGGTATTGATTATGTTGTTTGCAGAGTATGATACAGGTTTATGTATGGATTGTGATGTAGTTATTTCTTCATTTGTTTTACTAAATGAGTATCTGTGGTGTGAAATAGTCGTGTTCTAAATGTGTAATGGCTGGTTTGTGTAAATGGAATTACATTGGTGGGGGCTTAATAACTAAAGTACTGAGTAGGGAGAGTTTATTCTTCCACAACAGGGTTACCCCTAGGGCCTGAGAGATTTTGAATGTACCTAGGGTGGTGGTCCTTCTCTAGCAGCCTAACCTATGAGTGTGAGGGCAGCTTAGGGTGAGCAAGCCATCCTAGAGAGAAAGTAGATGATTCATGCCTTGTATGAGGGATGACATTAAAGGGGTTCATGTAGAATACTATAAGAATACATTATGGAGGAATAAGCAAAGTCCAGTGCAAGTTATAATAAACATTCTGAAAGGCAGCTTTAATTCTAAAACATTCTTTCCTGCTAATAAAATAATTATAGTGATTTCTGAAAGAATTTCCCTAGCCCCTTAAAAAAAATTTCAATAAAGTCTTTTGGCTGTTGGTCCAAGATGAATAAACCAATGTTTTTATTCCAATTGATGTGTCTAGGTGCCTCAGTAGATACTGAACTGGGCCTGGAGTCAGGAAGGTCTGAGGTCAAATTCAGCCTCAGACAATTACTAGTTATATGACCCTTGGCAAGTCACTTAACCTCTGTCTGACGCCTCAGTTGAAATGGGCATAATAACAACATCCACCTTGAAGAGTTGTTGTGTGGGTCAAATGAGATAATAGTTGTAGGGGGAAAAGTGCTTAACATAGTAACTGGCACATAGGAGACACTATATAAAAACTTATTCCCTTCTTTCTTCCCTTTCTAACTGGATTGATTTCAATGTCAGTTAAGATGGAGTTCATTTTTTTTTACTGATATCAGAAATACCTCCATATAAAAAATTAATTAAAAAATTTTTCCTTGACTAAATTGATCTTAACTGTAACATTACTATAAAGATTATCAGAAAATGGACATATTAGATCATAGTAGATAAACAAAAAAGGCTTCTACTTTCTTTGAAATTACCTTGTAGTAAATTGATTTCTCTGGAATCTCCATCACTAAATATCCCAATACTCTGTACATTCCGACCATCAAGAACTTTTTCTACAAGCAGCAGTAGACTTTCCAAAGTCAAGCCAGTGTATTCATACACCAGAGGAATGACACTAGTCTTAACACTGTCCACAATCATCTAGAGGAACAATCTGAGTTTCAGAAAATGAAGTTCACTTATTGACAAGTTATTAATGAACAAAATATAATTAATATTAAAATAACATTTATTTTTTAGAAGTGACTATTATTTTTTATCATAAAACCTCTGAAGGCATGGAAGGGAGAAGGTAGACCCCATGGAAGCTTGTTCCTCCATCATTTCTTAACACTAATTCCCAAACTTCCATCTCTGAGGAGCTGCCTGTTTCTATACAGATCCATCCTTTCCTATCACCTTGTATCCAAGAAGATAGCTAGCCAGGCTCAGGAGTAAAATATGGAACCATAGATTAGAGAAAAATTTATTGACTCCCAAAAGGAAACCAACAACTTTGGTCTTTGCCTGGTTGTCCCCATGAGTGGAATATACTCCCTCATCATCTCCACCTCTTACAATTCCTTGTTTCCTTCAAAACTCTGATCAAACAATATTTTCCACGTGAAGGCTTTACTGATCTCCCCATCTTCCAGGGCACTCCTTTTTCCAGCAAAACACACAAAATTTATTTTGTGTCTGTTTTATATGTACTTATATACATTATCTTCTTTGTGAGAATGTAACTTCCTTGAGGTCAGAGACTATCTCGTTTTTATTGTATTTCCTAGTACCTAACACATTGACTGGCACTTAGTAGGTACTTAAATGCTTGTTATTTTATTATTTTCATAGAGTTCTAACTAACTGAGCTAGCTAATTAAACTCCACCCTATTGTGTACATGGGCAACTAGATAGCACAGATGATAGAACACTGGACTCAGAATCAGGAAGACTCATCTTCCTGAGTTCAAATCTGACCTCAGACACTTACTAGCTATGTGACCTTGGGCAAGTCACTTAACCCTGTTTGCCTCAGTTTCCTAATCTGCAAAATGAGCTGGAGAAGGAAATGGGAAACCACTTCATTATCTAGCCAGAAAATCCCAAAATGGGGTCATGAAGAATGGAAAACAATTGAAAATGACTGAACAACAACAATTGTGTATATATAATAAAGAACAGTGTGTTTTCTCTCTCTATGTATATATACATATGTGTGTGTGTATTTTATTCATTTTTATTTTTAAAAAATTTGAATCACATATTAGAAATTTCTTGAATAACTCAATGAAAAATATCATGGTCTCATGTTATTATTTTAGTCTTAGAGAAATTTGGGGAGAATTCTGAATTGTATTGTTCTTTGTGTTTAATGTGGCATAGTAAAATTTGATCATAGGATCATAGCCCTAGAGTTAGAAAAGCCTCAGAGGCTACTAGTCCAACTCCTTTATTTTACAAATGGGAAAACTGAGTTTGAAGGAGAGTGAGGGACTTGGCCAAGGTCACAAAGGTAATTCATGTCAGAGGCAGAATTTAAACCCAGGACCTCTGACTCCAGAGACATTGCTTGTTCCACTGTGCCATGCAATCCTAAATAGATCAAACTATTTTCCTTTCAAAAGGTACATAGTTTAGAAAATGAGGCATTGAGGATTGCCATTGTTACTTTATTCCAGACCAAGTACTGGCCTTATGAGAAAATTAATACCTCATATGCAGGAATCCGAGATGATATCAACACTAGAGAAGTCTGGACTGAATGTGAAAAGCTGCCATACTTCTGATCAACTCTGTGGTAATGTTTATTTGAAAACAGAGGATAAGAATGACTTCCAGACACATTCTTTCTACAGAAGAACAAATGGAAAACAAAAAGGAATATGTTAAGTTCAAATTTTTTTCTATCTGGATTATGAAAAGTAGAGAGGAAGCAAAATACATCCAAAATATTCCACTAGTTCTGTTGATCTCATCAGTTTGGGAGTTGTTTCCATTGATGCAGATTGTAACCCATCCAAACCTTCCCATCCTTTGTGACTCTTATCTATGTTCACCCCACAATTCACCACAGATGGTACATCCCACATCCTGGTAGCCTTCCTCACTTTCTCCTGACGTTGTGAAGACACCAGTGGTACATACTGGCTATCCACAAGCCATTATGTCCTCTTATATAGTTAGCTCATTTTCTCTTCGTGTCATAGAGTTTCTCAATGTCATCCCCTGCTTTGTTCTTCTTTGGTGTTCTTTCTTGGTAATCAATTATAGTCTGTTGGCACTCACCAAGCATCTTTCTATTGTCCTTTGCGGAATATTCTTCTTTACTTCATAAAATCATAGGATTAAAGCTTTAGAACTGGAAGGGACCATAGGGGTTATAGAGTCCAACTGCCTCATTTTACAGTTGAGGAAACTGAGGCTAAAAGAAGGGATTTGCTCAGCACCACATAGCTGGTAAATATCTAAGGCATATATAATATTGGGCAACCTCTATGGTGTGTCTATCCAAATGCATGTTGAAATCTAGGCAACAGGCAATCTTCATTCACTTGGCCTTTGCCGTGTAACACAGGTCAAACTCCTTTGAGTGATTACAGACTTCATCCAGGAGACTCTTCAGTGTCTTTGGGGCTTGATACAATCAACATACTGTCATCCACAAACAGGAACATCTGAAAGATTTCATAATCCACAGGGAATCTCTCTACGTGCACAGTGCACCATCACAATGGTGAATACTTCTGTTTAATGTCTGATCTGAATTTTGTCAGAGTCATTGAACAGGTTTTTCCTCTGTTCTATCTTCCAAGGAATCCTGAATAATCTTGATGCATGAATGGGTAGGCATTGTCTAGTAAAAAGACTTTGGAAGGTAATGTTCTGTTCTACCAAATAAAATTCTTTTTTGTAATCCCCAAACAATAAACACAGTGGGATCTTATATTCTCTACATGATAGCATAAACCAAAAGTTTAATCTTAATTTATACCAAAAAATGTTATCTCAACATTTAGTCCTGTCTTTATTTTTCCTTTGTGGCTCTGCAAATCCCCTTCCTGAGTGTAACAGCAACTAAATCTTCCTGTTTTATTACTGCCTTACCAGCAAGTAGGCAAGTAGAAAGGAAAGATCATGGACACTAACTTCTAGCCTATAGGAGGTGCTAATCAAGTAATTATGGAACAAAAATGCTACCTAGAGTATTAATAGCAGTGATATTTCTCCAGAGGTTGCCCAATATTATGACTTTCCAATTCTCATTGGTCACTCCATGTTCTGTGATGGAAAACAGTATCTTTCTACTGTTTCTTCCAGAACTCTTGGTTACATATCAGCTATGTTACATTGTCTTCTCCTGATATTTTCATTAAAATGTGCATGCTTTTCACAAATCCTCAAAATGTAGTCTATCTTTGGGGTTGTCAAGTTTCAAAATTTCAATGTTGGTTGGTACGTATTTTACCTTTTTACTAATAAGAGAAAAAAAATCTAAATCTCACTGTTATTTGAAGTCTCAAGTGCTTAGACAGAGTTGGCCATGTATATATACTAACAACAACAATAATAACCAATGTCATATAGCGTTTCAAGGTTCACAAAACTCTTTCACCACAACTTTGTGAGGTTAGATGATGTAAATGATATTATTTCTGTTTTATAGGTAGGGACACTGAGTCTCAGAAAAGTTAAGTGACTTGCTCAAGGTCACACAGTATCAGTGCTGGGACGAAACCCAGATTCTCTGATTCTAAATCCAGTGCTCTTTACATTGCAAAATACTTTTGCCTAATTTATAAATATGAATAAGTATGTAAATAAATGTTAATTGATTGAGAAGTACTTGGGACATTGGATTCTACTATCTCCTATGCTATTCTCTAACCATAAGAATCTTAGACTTGCGTCACTTTTTTTTTTTGGACCATAAAATGTCATATAATAAATTGCACCAGTAATGCATGGTCTAGTTGAGTTGTTATGCGTAGACAATTTGGGAAGAGGGTCCAGGAATGCTACTGTTGGTAGCATGGTGCTAGAAATAGTGCTCGACCTGAATCAGGAGGAAACCTGCTTCAAATCCTGCCTCTGTGCCTTTTTAGCTGTGGAACCACAGGCGAGTCATTAAACCTCTCTGAACTTCAGTTTCCTTATCTGTAAAATGGATATAATAATACCTGTAGTACTTATCTTAAAAGGTCTTTATGTGGATCATAAATAATGTATTTATCTGCATATTTATAATATTTTATAAGCATTTTATGAGTTATTAATTCATAAAAGTTATACAAATTTTGTGATGACTGTGTTTTGAATGCCTTTTAGAAATATTTCTAAATCCAGCTAGCCCTATAGTGACACCAATGCAGTAGGAGATGTCATGTCACTATATAAGAAACAACAACATAGTCTCAGGCAGAAAAGTTATATGAGGCTTCATGACTGTCTAGTTTTGTCCTCTCCATAGCATTTTCTCTAAATCATTTCACACACACACACAGAGGAGAGAGACAGACAGACAGACAGAGGCAGAGAGAGAGAGAGCATTACATCTGATCATCTGATACAGACACATCAGAGAGAACGTGGAAGAGTATAGCTGTCAGTGACCTTATAATATCCTAGTATCACTACCCAACCCTTTGATGTATATTGTGCCTAAGATGTCCAGTGGTTTGCAGTACAGTACAAAGCAACTGATTTTACTCAAGGACATGCATAAAAGAGCTAAATTCAAGTGAAAGCCACCCAGACACTTACACTTTCCAGAGCTGTACTATTCTGACACAGGTCTGCTGTTCTCTCTTTCTTCCCAAAATAATTTGTCTTGTGTCACAGTATAAGGGCCAGTCTAACACCACCTATTTGTACTTTTATAAGCCACCTTAAGACTGGCTTAGAAGGGAAGAGATGCTCTCCTCAGGGCTATTGGCAGCACCCCACAGAGCAATTGCTCTATTTTCCTGACTGTGTTAACACCAGGAGTGAGTGAAAGCCCATTGTTAAATTTTCATTGTGAGCATTAATACCACAGAAATTTGGTAACTGCTAAAAATCATGGCTTGATTTATTGCTTTCTTGATTGTCTAGACTTAGGAAAGTGTTAATAATGCAGATTAACTTTAAAGTGTGTATGTGTGTGTGTATTTTTCCCCCAGAGAGCCATGTTGTAAAATATTTACCAACATTCTTTTGTATTTCTCTGTAAACATTTCTGAGTTCAGGAGGAACACAGAAGGCTCAGGAAATGAAGTCATCATCAGGTTAATAATAATAACAATGATTGACATTTATATAACACTTTAAGGTTTGTGAAGTACTTTACATCTGTCATCTCATTTGAGCCTTATGACACCCCTGGTTTATACCTTTTCACTACTTCAACAGGACACCTCATTTGGACATGCTACAAATTCCTGTAAAACTTCAATAGGTCACATCTCATCTTGTGTTATCTTTGTCCATGTCCTCCACAGAGAGTGTGCATCCAACATATTGGGGCCTTCCTCTGTCTCAATATTGCTTGGGTATAAATGAAGCATAGTCTACTGGTTATCCTTCAATAGCAACATCTCCTGCTCTGGTCATACATTTCCCTGCTATCTTTTTACACCATTGCTGCAGTGTAATTCTTCATTGGTTATATGTCAACTCATGGCCACCATGTCTCTACATTGCCCTTTGGATTATCTGTAACTTTAATTCTTTTAAGACTATGGTAACCCATGCTTCATTCATAATCATATGACATCCATCACTAGAAGAATGCAAATGTTAAAAAGACATGCCTTTTTTTCAGGGAATGCTTGACCTCATTAAAAGCACTATTATTTTCCAAATTAAATCCAACTTATCTTCCTTGGCCTATTCAACTCTAGGCTGAATTCACTGTCTATTTGTGGAGTCTGTTCACAATTTACATCTTGGTGGACCTACTCTATGGGATGTCCACTGAACTGGGTATCATAATCTGGACAACAGGCATGCTTCATCTACTTGACTTTTCTTGTATAGATCATAAGCTTTGAAAGGGAAAGGATTTCAGGAGACACTGTATCCATCTACTCATTTTGTCCCAACCTATCATTTTACAGATGAGGAACCTGAGGCTCAGAAATATTATATGACTCATGTAAGGTCATAGAACTAGGACTCTCACCAAGGTCCCCAGACCACAAATCTAGCACTCTTTCCACTGCACCATTTGACTCTGGATAATAGCCTGAACTCTGTTAAATAATTGTAGATTTTGATTAGGAGGCATTACAATATTCTGGGATTTGATGTAATCACCAGCACAATGTCATCCACAAACATCCATTTGGAGGACCTCACCACCCAAAGGAAATCTCTGTTTCATTTGGACTCTATGCTAGACTTTCTCCATGAAGGTGACAAATACCTTCCTATTTTATGCCTCACTGGAGATTTATCATCACAGAATCATTGAGGTTACCTCTTATGTTTCTCTAGTTATTTCATATGATGCATGGGCTACATGTGTATGTGTATATGTTTGAGGAGAATCTTCAAGAAAGAATTTTGCTCTACCTAATGAATGGTGGGTTTCTTTGTTTTTTTAACATATGAACAAACAAGTACAATGGGGCATTTTTGTGATTTTAAAGATATAGCCTACTGTAGAGTGTTATCTATGAAAGCCTGACTATTCCCTTCTCATATATTTATTAAGGATGTACTTAATATGTAGGTACAGTGTTCTCATACATATTTTGTTGATCCAGGAAAGGAGTTATTAACATAAATTGCCTTAGTCTGTCCTATCTCTTTAGCAAAAAGATTGTTTGTGGCCTCAGATGTATTTCTAGGCTTTTTTCTTTTTTTCCTCTTTGTAGCTACTGATTTACACATGTTAATTTTCCTTAAGAACTGATAATAGTCTCTTTTGATTTCTATTATTTTTCCCATTTCCTATTTTTGCTACCATTAACTCATTTAAATAAAGTTGGTGTTATTAACTGCAAGTCATATTGCCTCATTTTTATTCTACTTTGGTATTGATTTTGATGTTGGCAGTAACAAGCTCATATTGTGACTGTGCAGCTGATTTGGAAATGGCTTTCACATTGCTAATCAGTCATTTCCTATCTGTTAAGATAGAATCAATCTGATTTTTTGATGTTATTTACTATTTGCCATGTCCAGCACTTCCCAACCCTCTTCTTGGAGAAAGCATTCATGACATCAGGGCATAAGACATTTGTATGGTCTACCAGCCTTTGACCTCTTTAATTTCTTGATCATGAGCTATATATTGTAAAATTTTTTCACCATCTTCCCTTATGTTCATCTTTGCCCCAAGTATTAAAATATTGATTTAATTCAGAGAATCTTAAATTCTTAGTAGAATTTCTCTACTTCTCATCCTCTATAATGGATGTTGGTATATAAACTGCAACTATTTTTATGGTAATCTTTTTACAAATGCTCACCATAAGCATTGCCATAGGAGATAAGCAAGTGTCCTATGAAATGGCCTTTCTTGTTGCCTTTGCATGAAGGATATAACCAATCCTGCCAAATCATTTATTTGCTTTTCCACTGAGAGACTGTGAGACATCCTTCCATTAAGCTGCAACTTCCTTTATCTACTGGTTTCATTTATAGCAAGCATATGAGCCAGTTCCTTCAGTAGCATGTTTATTCACTGGTCACTAAACAAAAATCTTATAGTTTGGGATAAGAACCATTAAGCCAATGTTAATCCTATAAGATTGCCTAAATATTAAAGTACTGATACTAAATTACCATCAAATGCTATATAAAAAATCACAATACAAGCTAGAATGATGTTTAGAAGAAAAGTAAAAATCTTGAAGTCATATGAAACTACATATTATAGTTATAGCTAAAAACAAAATATGGATTGAATCACTTTAAGGAAGCACCACATGTCAACTGAATTGTTTAAAAGATAGATACTGAGATGTTGGAATGATTTCTAGCCTACAGAAAATGGAGATTTGCTTACTTTTTAGGTAAGGCTTCTAAAGATGCTAAAACAAGCTGTTTCTCCAAAGCTGCACTCAATCCTATGCGATCCTTTATAACCTGTGGGAGTTGTGGCTGGCATCTGGATTTTAACACTGTAGAGCAACATGTTCCACTCATCCAAGGGGGTCGAACTTTGAATAACTCTCCTGAAAAATAAATATCAATAGCGTCTCCTATTTACTTATAGGTATCTCTAAAGACATGTAGATATAAATGAAACCATCAGTAATAAAATAGAACGGTGATAATCCAACCAAAAATAACTATTGGATTTTATTTGCTCTTGGAATTACAAGTGAAAGTACCTAATGATTTTAGCTAGAAATGAACAATGTTAAGAAAATAAGTCATTCTCATATTTGGGGAATTGATTATATAATTTACAAGCTTTTCCTTCCATCTTCCCAAATTTAAGCCTTTTCGTTTTTCTTAGCCTCTATAGTGGAGATAAATAGCTACAAAGGAGACATGCCTTTCAAATCTCAAACTGAAATCAATCTTGCCACTTACTTTGGTATCCCAGAAATATGCAGCTTTAGCTACAAATGTGACTGGTCATATTTCAACTTATTTCCTATATTCTCTCTCTAATTCACCCATTCTTTGCCACACACAGGTTCATAGATTTTCCTCAGAGACCATTTAGTCCAAGCCTACAGTTAAGGACACTGAGGCTCCTGAAGGTTGGGTGACTTGCCCAAAGTCACACAGGAAATGCATCACAGGTTTAAGTTGAAATTAAGAACCTCTACTTCCAGAACCCATGATCTTTCCATTGTATCATGATGTCTCCTAGTGCCCCAACCTCCTTCCTGCTTCTACCCTTATTTTCTTTCTTTTTTCTTTTCTTTTCTCTTCCTTCCTTCCTTCCTTCCTTCCTTCCTTCCTTCCTTCCTTCCTTCCTTCCTTCCTTCCTTCCTTCCTTCCTTCCCTTTTTTTCTTTCTAAATTCCCATCCAGGCTCTTACTTTTACTCCTATGTATTACTTTTCTTCATCTTTTTTTCTAAATTGTAAAAACATGTAGTATACCTAGATACCAATGAAAGTGATCTTACTTGAGCTTGTATAAAATCTTTCATCATAAATCTTATGTGATGATACAGGAAGAAAAATAGCAACATGGAGGGAAGAATGCTTTAATTATGTTTCTTTCCAGTGCAATATTAAGAATGGACCAATGAGACCATACAACTGTCATAACTGACAACAACAATAACTGACATTTATATAACACTTTAAAGTGTGAAAAGTGCTTTACATACACTGCCATTATCACCTCACAACAACTCTACAAGTTAGACACACTAGAGGTATCTCTACTTTCCAGAAAAAGAAATAGATTGTTACAGGTGAAGTGACTTGTCCATGACCACAGAGCTAGTGTCAGAAATAAGATCTGAACTATGATCTTCCTCATTCTGAGTCCAGAATATCTTATAAAGACTTCAAACTTTAAGGGAAAAAAAACAAAAATAATAAGGACTAGTCTTTGCTTCTACTCCCCATTAGGGTTTTTCTTACTTTAGAAGGAATTTGTCTTAGAAAATATAACATGCTCTTGTCCTACTTGGGTAAATTGCTAGTAAAACAAATCACAAAGTATTTTTTGCCTACTTAAATAAAAGGAGATCCATGGTATAATGTGCTGGATTTAGAGTCATCAGACCTGATTTGGAGGTCCAATTCTATGGGAACCAGGACCAGTACATAACAGCTACAGGCTTCATTTTCCTCATCGATAAAGTAAAGAGAACTCTGGGTCATCTAAGACCTCCAGGTCCCTTCCAGCTTTAGACCTATGATCATCTAATCCCCTGTGAATCAAAAAGAAGTGAAAGTTAAAGCAATTGAATGGATGAGACAATCTTCCACTCCCTTGGTTGAAAGCAAAATTATGGTCTGTATTACTGGTTGAACAAATCTCATTGTGACAAATACAATTATAACTATAAATCAAAAACTTTTGCATAACAAGATTTCCAAACACCAGCTAATGACCTACTTCACTTCAAGTTCTATTTGATCCCTCCCCAAACTCTAAGCTCAACAAAATAATCTGGACAAACCATTAGATTTTCTTGTAAAAGGAATTAAACTTCATCTAGAGTAGCTGTTCACATTCATTTCCATTTTAGGCCCAACTAAAAGACATTTTCCCCACTTTGGAAGATTATTATGGTTTCTGAAGTATTACTGACTCTTACGGAGTGCTAGTCTTCCCCAAATAATTTTTCTTAGGCGTCTTTCTCTTTGCCTTTCTTCTTGTTCCTCATTTTCTGATTTGGGTTCATTGAGGGTCCCGTAGATAGCAGAAGCTTCCCTTGGGGTCAGCCAATCCAAGGTGGCAACACAGGCAATGTAATGACGCTTCCAAGCACCATACTCATTTTCTGGGGGATCGTAAGGCAGAAACCATCCAAACCTAATGCACTTTGGCCTCCACAAGCAATCCTTCAAACAAAGATACACAAGGAAAGGAGAGGCTGTCATGTTTTTTCTTCAACACCAGTTTCCAGATAACAATATTTTAAGACTCACTGGGAATTTTCCCCCCCATTACAATTAGAGTTCTTTCACTGGTAACATTAATTCAGTTTTAAGCTTCCCATTATCTCATAACTTGCTATGCTTCTGAGAATAGACTCCACCCTCTGGGATAGGAACTGAACCTTGTTTGTTCTGCATCTGTGATGGTGCCATATTGGTAATCTTCATCTCCATCTCCCTCATTTATCCTCCCCCATCTGGATTATTTTATTCTCCTGACCCTAGAATTTAGGGGACATTTAAAATGACTTCAATTTAGGGTTCAAAATAAATCATTATGCATAGTTCCCTTTCACCCATTCTAGGGTTAGATTAATCTGCTCTCTGAGGGTCCCATTATAGACCTTCCTTAAAAAGTGTATCTATTTTAAATTTTAAAAAGTTTGCTTTATCACAGTGTAACACCTCTTTCTCTAGGCTCTCCTACATAGACTATAGATTCTGTTATTGTATCCTTAAGAGTTAAATGGAATGTTGCAGAAAAAGCAGTTTGGGTTGGTAGGTTAGAATGACAGTTTAAACTGTCATTCTATGAGCTGCTTCTTCCTAATGAGTTGGAGAGAATATATGTTGCTTTTTTTGATTACAAGAAACTATAAGCTAAACTATAGAGAAGACCGAGACAAAGAAGTTGGGGAAAACTTTCTTTCTGTAAGAGCTATCAATTGATATTTTATGGTAAAACAAGGATTCTCTGAAAAGTCTGTGAGGAATTTTCAGTTATAGGGTATTCTTGAGAAGATGCTACCTATAATGACTCAGTAGAGAAGAAATAAAGAAGACCAACACAATTTAATTCCTGAAAGGCTGAATTTAACTTTCATCTTGAGAAAAAATATGAAGAATATTCTTGAGAGACTAATTAGTATATTGAATGAAATGAATGATGGAATTATGTTTCCAAAAGTAAAGAATCATCTGTTGTTAGAGTGAAGGTTTTAGGTGATTGTCCCTATAATCTTTCCCATTGTCAAAAATATGATACATAATTATATCTTTTGTTACTGATTTCATTTGTTAATAAATTACATGTCCAATAACCTTAACATTCATTTAATCATGGGAGATTAAGGGTTTTAATATGTAAGTTACAAACTATAAATTTATAGTGATATATGAGTAACTATGAAGAGTCGGACATGACTGAACAACAACAAATGAGTACTATTGGGAAAAGAGGCTTCTATAGTTTAATAAATAAATAATATTTATTGACTTGGGGAAGAGGATCAAGCCAATCAATTAATTATTGAGAAAGCGGTCATAAATTTATTAATTCTTAGGAAAATACTAAACTATATCTAAATAAACTATATCTACATCTATAAAGTAAACGATTATTCTAATGCTTGAAATAATAAAATTTAAATATGGGAACATGTCAGGTGTCAGGCTAAGGAGTAACCTAGATGTGAGGTGTGGTTTATTCCATAATACTTAATAAAACAGCATTTTTAAAATTTGAAAGAAAAAAGGAAATAAGGGCACAACAGAGTAGAAGCAGGAGCTATGATGGAAGACACCAATTTTATGCCACTGTGGGCAAGCTTCTTCTAAGTTCAACAACTTGATAAGCAACTCAGATGAGCTAGAGCTACCAGTCAGCAAACAGATGTCAGCCAGGTAGAGAACAGTGGAAAGATTACAGCTGCCAAGCTATTCGGGCTTTACACAAAACCAACACATTTAAACTGCTTGATGACATAGTATACACACAATAAAATATAGACAAAATGGAATAGAAATGATTTGTCATGAAGGGAAATTCCAGGGGAAAAAGGTGTCATCTATTTTTTTGAACGATATTTCCCCTGAGTTTAACATTTAATATTTAATGGTGTTTCCCATAATTAGGTGAATAGTTCATAAAGGTTAATTTTGATTGGAGGAGGGGAGTGTGCATCCAGGCTTATGATTCCATTGTTATAGGAAAATCCCAGCATTGAAATTTCCTCCACCAATTCAAATGAGCAAATCAACTGCTTGGAAATACTAATAGGTTGTCCATAGCCAAATAGTGGAGGCAAGATTGAATTTCAGTCTTCCTCACCCTAAAGTCAATTCTCTTTCCACTATGCAACATGTTCTCACTTTACCTAACTACAAAGTAAAATACAATGTTGAGGAATAAAATTTCAAAATTATTTTCCTTGCTCTGTCACTTAGTAAAACTATGAGTTTTGGCAGGTTACTTAACCTGGTTTCAGTTTCCTTATCTACAAAATGAGAGGAGTGGAACGGAAAACCTGTGAAGTCTATTTGAGTTCTACATCTATGACCCTATAAACCTGAGTACAAGTTTAAAAACAGTTTTGTTCCTCAAAATTTTATCACAGTACTCAGGATCACAAAACAATGTTATTCAGACCACCAAAATATGCAGCTGCCTTGACAGATAGATGTGTTTGTATTTTGTGACAAAGAACTGACGAGCCATAGATAGACCTGTTCAGTTAAAAACTTCCAAGGCCAGTTAACTTGTGCAGCTGCACACAAATCCATGGGATTCAGGAAGGAGAAAATGTACAGAGAAATGAAACGCGGCAACACTGTACAGAAATCCACTTTGACCACTGGAATCTTCTCAGAAAACCAGTCTTTGACAAACCTACAAAAAAGATACAAGAATTTAATCTTCAGCACTGATATCCAAAACTGACTGTGAGGTTCAGATTATTTTTCTCACACTGCTTTTCTACTTGAAGAACACATTAAATCTAAAAAAAAAAACTAGAGAAATATAACCAACTTTTAATTATCCACATGATATCAAGGATAACTAATTTTTAAAAATACCATTTCATCCATTATTTCACCTCCCTCTAACAAATTTTTTGTTGTAAGGAGGAGGTATTGATTAAGTCAGTCAATCAATTACCCCCATCCTACTTTGCCCTGATAATACCTATATTGAGTCAATAAATCAGAGATACGAACTAAGTGTAAGTGAAGTCTAGATACTGCTATTGATTTGATCAATCAAAGGGTTTAGACTAAGTGTAAAATGTTTCTTGATCCATTTAGAAGTCCCTAAAAGACTTTGGATGAAATGGAGAGACACTACATAGGCAGCTTCTTTGGATTGGGTGAGGACACTTGGTCACACTGGATGTGTTTTTTTTTTAATGTAAAATAGCAAGCCAATTAGGAATTCATTTGGGCAATGGAGTGTGTAGAAACTTAGTAATGGAAGCTGGCATAGCTTCCTCCACTGAGAAGGAATCCTTTGGGAGCCAGGGTAAGAGAGTGTCTCCATTTCTTTCCCCTTACTTTTTTCCCCCTCCTCCTGCTTTGACCTGAGGATAACCTTATGAACTTGAAGAGTTAGAAGACTTGCGTATGGCTGTCATAGTCCTAGCAGCATCCTCAGAACAGGTGACACCCTGTCTGCTTTGGGAGCCAATGTAAAACTAGACACGATGAGGAAAGGCAACTTCAAGTTTCTACAAGGAAGGAGAAAACAACACTGTACTGAAGCAAAACTTTTTAAGTATCCCACAAAGGTGCACCTCTTTGCTACATGTGCTTTTTAAACACAAGCCCTCTTTTCTCTGGACTCTGTGTACTGTTGGGAGAGTATGTCACAGAATTTTTGGGGAATGTTCTGTATCAATTATTCTCACTCTACTACCTTAGTATGTCCCTCTCTAAAAGCTAATTAAGTCTAGTTGACTAACTGACATCAACTGATAATCACAGAGGAAAGAATACCACTGGGGCCTTGTGATCTAAACAGCATTAGATGGATACCTTCAGCTCCTCAAAGTTTTCAGTAGAACCCTGGGGAAAGATGTAACTGCTACCTTTGTGAAACAAAATCAGCCAATAAGAGTGTGGGGTGGGTAAATCCCAAGCATGTGCTATACTTCCTTTTTCTTTTTTTAAAAATTTATTTACTTTTAGTTTTCAATATTCACTTCCACAAGATTTTGAGTTCCAAATTTTCTCCCCATCTCATCCCTTCCCCCACCCCAAGATGGCATGTATTCTGAATACCCCTTCCCCTAATCTGTCCTCCCTTCTATCTCTCCCCCCCTTATCCCCTTCCCCTTCAATTTTTCTATAGGACAGGATAGATTTCTATACCCCATTTCCTGTATATCTTATTTCCCAGTTGCATGTGAAAACAATTTTTTTAAACATTTGTTTTTGAGTTCCAAATTTTCTCCCTTTCTCCCTCCCCAGCCACCCTCATTGAGAAAGAAAAGCAACTCAATACAGGTTATACACGTGTAGTAATGTTTCAAAACACTTTCACAGTAGTCATGTTGTGAAAAACTAAGTATATTTCCCTTAATCCTATCCTGCCCTCCATTTATTCTATTCTCTCTTCTGATCCTGTCCCTCCTTACAAGTGTTTGCTTCTGATTACCCCTTCCCCCAATCTGCCCTCCCCTCTATCATCACCCTTCTCTCTTGTCCCCTTCCCCCTCTATTTTCCTGTAGGGTAAGATAGATTTCCATACCCAATTGAGTATGTATGTTATTCCCTCCTCAAGCCAAATCCATTGAGAATAAGATTCACTCATTCCCTCTCACCTTCCCGTTTTCCCTCCACTGTAAAGGACTTTTCTTGTCTGTTTTATGTGAGATAATTTACCCCATTCTACCTCTCCCTTTCTCCTTCTCCTAGTATAATCCTCTCTCACCCCTTAATTTTATTCTCCAGATATCACCCCTTCATCTTCAACTCACCCTGTGTCCTCTACCTACCTATCTATCTATCTATCTATCTATCTATCTATCTATCTATCTATCTACACACATATAATTTTTCCTTCCAACTACCCTAATGCTGACAAAGGTCTCATGAGTTACAAATATCATCTTTCTGTGCAGGAATGTAAACAATTCAACCTCAGTAAGTCTCTTATGATTTCTCTTTCCTGTTCACCTCTTCATGTTTTGCTTGAGTCTTGTATTTGAAAGTCAAAGTTTCTCTTTAGTTTTGGTCTTTTCATCAAAAATGCTTGAAAAGCCTCTATTTCACTGAATGTCCATTTTTTCCTGAAGGATTATATACTCAGTTTTGCTGAGTAGGTGATTCTTGGTTGTAATCCTATCTCCTTTGCCCCCTGGGAATATCATATTCCAAGCCCTGTAGTCCCTTAATGTAGAAGTCACTAAATCTTGTGTTATCCTGATTGTGTTTCCACAATACTTGAATTGTTTCTTTCTGGCTGCTTGCAATATTTTCTCCTTGACCTGAGAACTCTGGAATTTGGCTACAATTATACTTCCTTTTTCAACTCCTTATGAATAATTAATAAAGGCAGCAAGAGAGGAAAAATGAAAAGTCTTAATTAAACTGTACTTCAATAGTTTTATATTTTCCCTTCATCCATATTCTCTTTCTTGATTCCCTTTCCCAATGTGGAAGAAGAAATGGCAAACAATTCTTCTTTCCTTCTCTCTTTCCCCAATTCTACTGTATCCAGTATTGGCTTTCCTTTGATGAGCAGCAGGCTTCAATCTCTAAAGGCTTAGTAAGACCTAGTGCTTGTAACCTCAACATTGGATTTTTAAAGCACTTTAAGTCAATTTCTGGAAGAATTTATGTATCAAATTCTGGAAGAGTTTACCTATTTATATTTTCTAGAAGATTGTTATTCCCTATCCCTGCCGTGTTTTCTGTTATTTTCCTTTGTAAAGCTCAGACATCTGTCTCAGAGGATTTCTCAAAAAGTGATGTTCTCACACAGTCAATATGGAAGGGCTCTATTCTGCCAATTTTCCTGATGCACTTTAAATTCATAGTAATGATACATTCTTCTTTTGTTGTGGAGTGTTTTGTTGATATTTTACATAAGGTTGAAGCAATGGATTGATAGATTATTTCTTTATACTCCAGTTGCTACTTACATGTAACCTGTTTTTTTTTTATTTCTAAAGGATTGAAAATGAAATCTAAAAAGCCTACCTGCCTCTGATATAAGTTTAAGTTAGTCAGAATTTCCTCTTTCTGAAGACAGATTCCCCACTTATTATCCTCTAACATCCTCTATCCTCTTCACTTTTTTTTTGTCATAGACTTCTTTGGCAGTCTGAAGCCTATGCATCCACTCTCAGAATAATGTTTTTGAAAGCATAAAATAAAATGGATAGGTGTACAAAGGAAACCAATTCTATTGAAATTCAGTTATCAATTTTTTTCCCCCAAAAAAAGTTCTTGGGACCCCAGGTTAAGAACCTCTACCATGATATCATCACCAACTTGCACCTGTAGGCCTCTGACTAGTCAATCCCTAGTAACCCAGTTGTCAACTCCTGTTTGAGTAGCAAATACTGAAACCTCTTATGTAAGGCAAAAGATGCCTCAATTTTAATTTCTCCTTTTCTCCTGGCTCATTGCATCTGTGCTTTGAACCAGAGCATTTTCTAAACTTGCTCATCAGTACTTTCTAGCTCTTTACTTAGTCTGTAACTCATAGCTTTAATGTCTGACTCCTGCCTTTCAATCCCAGACCTGTCTTGATTTGATTTTCTCATTCTTGGTTACTCATATTGTGTCTATAAATCTTGACATGCTGGCTATTATAGGAATAAACAAACCTTTCATCTACATCAATAACATCTGTTTATATTTATGTGGTTAATAGTGCCCTTTGAAATGTGAATTAGCCAAAAATATGCTTATACTTAGAGCCTTGAACCCTATGGGAAAGGAACGTGTTGTGACTCCATTTACAAAAAAAAAAATTGTAAAAATTGCATTGAGCAATCTTGTTGTTCTCTCTTCCTTGTGTAGAAATAAAAAGTCTGCAAGGGGTGGGGGTTGGGGGTGAAGGGAATAGGAAATAGAAAAGCCAATATAGTAACAATCACTGAGTAATCAAGAATTGCCTACATCTTCCTACTTTCAAGAAACATTTGTTGAATGCTTAGTATTTGCAAGGCATTATTCTAAGGCAGTGGTTCTCAAAGTGTGGGTCTACAAGGTCAAGAGTATTTTCATAATAATGCTAAATGTTTTAATGGTCTAATAAGTAAATATTGAAAGCTACTATGATCCAAATAAACAAAAGCCATTTGGGAGGTCCTCAATAATTTTTAAGAGAGTAAAGAGATCCTGAGGACAAAAAGTTTCAGAAGTGCTATTCTAAGGCATAATTATACAGGAAACAAGAATAAATAAGACACAATCCCTGTCCTTCTGAGTATATATCATAATCTGGACAACAAGCAAAAAAATGAAATTGGCTATTTCTTAACAGATAGAAAAAGACTGGTTACTGGAAGTCATTTCAGAATCATCTAGTCAGATCGATAACCAACTAGTTGGAGCACATGTCAAATGCCAAAGTCAACACTAAATTAGAAAAAATAGACAAAAATGAGATGATACCAGGTGTGATTTCAGTAGCCCCAAAATGACCTGCTTAAATAAGCAGCTAACAATGAAAAATGAATAGACAAAAATGCCAAAGACATTGATTTTTATACTATGTCTTGGAGAAGCTTAATCAATGCAAAATAATCACCACAATAAGGTCCAAAAGAACTCAGAACTTTCCTCAGATAGCAAATATTTGACTGACTGACTAAGCAGAGAGATATAGCAATCAGCGTCACTGCCAGTTTACAGCATAAATTAATTTGTAAAGCATT